ATTTATTGAATAAGAATTGATTTGATAGAGCAATTATTCGCTGATTTATTTATATCTTAGCACAGTACAAGATTGAATTTTTGAATTTCATCTCAAATCTATTCATTCAACCTTCAAACCTAAAATCTATTCATTCTAATTTTGAATTAAAGGTATTAAAGCGCTTTTATGCGTTTCTCTAAGATTCCATATATTTTACTCGTAGAAAACTTTATTCTCAGAGAGAAAAGAAAACAAGGTATGGTCTGAAAGAGTAATAAAAAGAATCCAAGGCATGTATTTTGAAAAACAAATATGAAAAGTATTTAATTCTACGTGGTAAGAAACATGCATGCAACACAAATGCATGTATCATGCATAATATTCAAGTGAATTCTTTTAATTATAATATTTTCGAGACTACTAAGTGCAGTTAGACATGAGGGAATATTTGATCTTATTTTTGAAGAAGGAAAAGATCACAACGAATTAAATATAATAGGTGCCTCATGCAAACCTTCCACTAATGCTAAATATCTGGAATTATTTGATTAGTTCGTAAGTTTAATTTTTCTCAGATTTCAAACAAGGACTATAGCTTCTAAAGTATTTGAAGATCTAAATTGAAATTTCAGCACTCCGATTTAGAAAAATTTAACTTTCAATCACTGTATTAAATATACAAACTTGGACATATCTAATCAGTCCAATATTTAAGTTTTCTTGAGTTATCACAGAGTAAATTCAGAAACTTGTCATCAGAAGTTGGTAAACCAATTTCGGAATTCTGAATCATTGTTTTGATGAAAACTATAAGAACACTTAACTTTCATATATGAAATGATTTAATTTATGATCGGTTCAATGTTACTTGTATCGTTTTCACTTTCATTACCAGCTTTAAATAACAATATTGATTTATCGAAGGCACAAAAACATTTCATTTTATATTTAGATTAATGATATAGAATTGAAGAATTTAAGAATCTCATATCATACTTATTTAGTTTATTATTGTTGTAAAATCTTTTCATCATCTTTTAAGTTTTTCCCTTTCGTTTTTTCAATTTTTATTGGTTCCTTTTTGTAAAGAATGGTTGTGGGTGGAAACGATTTCAAACTTTTTAAAATCGATCATAGAATGAATGCATAGAAAGTAAAAAGTAAAATGTTGTGTGATATGGGTGGAAGAACAGCCTGTTCTATGGATTGCATTTTTTTGAAACTCTTTTTGTAGACCCCTTTCCCCCTCCCTTTATATTATTCAAACATTCTCATACTGAGGGAAAGAGTATCTAAGCGCCCATCACCCCCCACCGTCGACAGAGACAATTTCATTTTCGAAATATATTCGTCTGCACAAAAAAACCGGTCATCATTATCCAGCCAACTGCTAGTAACAATTTTCATTTTGTTGGCAGCCATAAACCTTCTGAAGGATTTGATATTGATTGAATCACTAATGCAAAATTTTGGATATTTCTGCTAATTTAAAAATTTTTTGAAGCAAAAAAATTTGAAATTTTGAATTCATAAACTTTGAGCATTCAAAATTAAAATGTCAACTTTCTGACTAAATTTTTCAATAAATATAATGATAATAATTTCTCACAATCATTCTTTTTTAAATCTTTCAAGCAGAAAGTGAAAGTTTTCCTTTTCTTTGAAAATATCTTAACTGAAATTTTTTCAATTTAAAAACTTAACTTTTTTTTAAGACAATAACAAAATAGTGAAGTCACTATTGTTTTAAATTATTTATTACAATCATCTAAAATTTTTAAAAATTAATGACAGCTATGTTTGAACAGATAAATTAACTGTTGAATTCGAAGCAGTGATTTGGACTTAATTCAGAGAAAAAGCGCGAGCCAACCATTGCCACTTCATAGTTTCACGATCTTTGTGTTACTCCTAAGTTCCGTTGTATGAACATTTCTAGTTTCAAATTGATAATGGAATTTTTGATTACACTAACAGCCACTAACCAATCCATATCTTAGAATACCGCTTTCCGAAAAACTGGATGCAGGTAGAATTGAAATTTCTATGATTATATGATAGACGGCAATACTTGAGATGACATTGATACGATTGGATCATAACGGGTGGATGAAGATGAAGATGAAAAAGTGAATTAATATATGCGCATGATTGATTTGGTTTGGGAAAAGATTTTAGCAATACTTTATTTGTAGGAAAATAAATTTCATAAAAGAAAATTTTTTTCTTTTGGAAATAATAATTTTGAAAAAACATGTAACTATGAAGTACTGACAACCAATAAGAAGATGCATAATTAATTAGATGGTAATAATTAAGAAGAGATTTGATATTCTAGTTTTTGTAGAAGTTAAGAACAATCAAAAAATTATGGATAGCTTTTTTAACTCTGTCATATAATATATTTTCTCTAGTAAGAAATGGACATGACGGTTATTTAATTTAATTTTATATTTTCCATTTGCATAGAATATTTTATTATTTATTTGATTTAGCTAATAAATAAAATGATTTTGATTATAATTAATTTAGTATTTATTATTTCATTGATTTAGGAATTATGTGATGTTATCAAAATTTTTCTAATTTATGCAAAAGGTAATGTGCACAATGATATTTCCCACCATATTACGGTAATATAATTGGAATGTGTTGAACTCTGAAATGTGTAAACAAAAAGTTGTCATATGCACATATCTACAAGATATGAATGATACGGTATATAGTAGTCGTTACGACGGTAAGCAAACATAACTTACTCATGCCGCATGAACAGAAAAATATTTTGTGAATGCTTTAAAATTCTATTTCAATATCTGTTACTATTTCTTTTGTTTTAAAAATAACAATAATAATTATTATTAAGAAGTACCTTAAAATTCGAAATTATACCAAAATAAAAGTTTTAAAAGTTTTTTTTGTTGAATTAATTAAAATGAAGCAAGAAGCAAAAATTTAAAATTTCATCTAACTCTTAAAATTGAAAAGTAACGAAGGAACGAATATAATTCTTATATATATTATTTTATTATGAAAATTTTGAAACGAAAAAAATTCTCGAAAAATGTTCACTTGACTGATTGCTAACCTTCAACCTTCATTCCGCGTTGTATACATTTTTGGAATCGGCAGTGTGGACAACGTTTCCGACATGACTTATCCACTGCGCAATTCTGATCCGCTGAACATTGATATGACTGAAATCAAATTTTTGACAATCTAAGCTTAAAAATGAAACATTTGGAAATTTCTGTAGTGGTAATAAAATTTTATTCAACAACAATGTAAAATATTTTCATACGCAATAAGAATTTTTCAAATTAAAAGATTAAATCATTTTGGTTTTATGTTAAATAAATAAATAATTGTTTTTCCGACCTTCACATTATTTTAAGAGTTTTATCCGGGAAACGTAAAAGATGGCACAAGATCCTTTCTTGTTGTAACTTTTTCAAAGGAGAATAAATTGAAAGCGACTTACGATTTAATATGTAGCTATTTGCTTAATTGCAAATTCTAAGAAAATTATTTTTGATTTTAATATGAAATTCTCTTTAAATAAAATAAGTGAAAATAAACCTTTTTGTTTTGTACTGTTCGCTTAAAGAAGCCCTGAAAATGGAAAATTTTATTTTCAAATAAAATATAACATGCAAAAATTTGAAATTTTAGACGGAAAATATTTCGAAATCTCAAAATATTTGTCTCACTAAGTTATTTGCAAAATCTATTGAAAAAAGAGAAGAAGATGAATGATTCTCAGAATTTCAAATGCAATTTTCAACGATTGTTTGAAAATTTATTTGGAAAAATTGATAGATTGATGACATTTATGAATGAATCTTCGGAATTGTTTTGCAAAGAAGTATCACTCACAACATAGAAATATTCATAGTCCACCAAAAATAATATGAAGAAGCAAAGATCTGAAAATTAGTTTAACTCTAATTTAGTGAAATTGAACAAACTTAATTGAAAGGAAAATTTAGAAATATTTTTGAAAGCGATTGTGACACATTTAAATTATACGTAAAGAAGGAGAATAAATAAAATGAAAATAGTTAAAAATTTTGTAAGAGAATGTCATGAAATTAGCAAAAATTTTTAATTAATTTATAGAAAGTAAAATTTCTTCGGGAAACACTGTCACATTATTGGAGGATAAGCATTTCGAAGGAGCATACAAACAGAGCTTGGTGATTGATTGGTTGAAAAGAACCATTGTTGCTTCTACAGATGCTGCTATGAGATGGACTACGGTATTATGTAAGAATTATGAAGATTGAGAATCATCAATATAATAGATTGAAAATAAATTCAAAATACAATGCATTAAATTAACAGAGAAAATTTGACATCAAAGAATGTTATAGTTTAGTTGAAATCATATATAAGCTCTGGTTTTATCTTTCAATTAATTAACACCCTAAATCTATGTATTGATGATATTGTGGCTCAAGTTAACTTGTTAGAGGTATAGATGTAAGCATGCTATTGTACAAAGCTTGACACGATATTTTTCATGAAAAGATTACTGTAACATTAATTGACTTGAGAAAATTTGAAAGTGTTACGCGAACCTTGCATGATTCGCAGGTGAGCAATCCGTAATGGTACCCGGACACGCGATCTCCACAAACCGGACAGTTTTCGTATTCGATTTGCGGCTTACAGTTTAGATCGTCCAGCTTCAAGGCCGTTTCAATGCCAACCATGATGGCAATCGTTGCAGTGATTTGCTGGGCGCTCCGGCCTTCGTTGTCAGTCTTCTGATGCAGCGTTGACCTTGCTATCAACAGACAAATACACACACACGCGCATACACACACATACACATACACACTGAAGGCCGTAGCAGACAGCGGCCTATACCTTTATGACAGGTGAGTTGCTATTGCTACAAGAAACAACATCAAACAGTGAAAGCAATTGCAGTACGGACCGATAAGCTGACAATACATTTCATGGAATTATTGGAAGAATCAGTGGAATGAACGAAATCGGAGGTATCCAGAAGAATGCCCAGTCAACAGGTAGCAGCAGATCGCATCACAAGCAACGATTCATCATCCTGCAAAAGGGGTGGACCTCATGCATACCATCATATCAAGCAAGTTAGCGGACGCGCACAGAGACAGACAGCAGTACAGACCCGACCTGATACATTCATCTTCAGTTAAGCTGCTGCTCTACATCACTATATTGCACATCCATGTCTTCTTTGCAATTAACAGACAAGTAGGGAGAGATGGAGGTGGGCTCGGATAGAGCGGTAATGCAATTCAGAGAGCATCATATTGGTGAAAAGAAATGTCGCAGGGTTGTGACAGTTGTGCTTGAAAAGAAAAGAGCTGGTTAAGTCGCCCCTAGGACAATTGCAATCATTGGGTAATAGTAGCACCGACACATTCAAACATATCGAGAATTCTTCTCATCCATTTTGGAGATCAAAATTGAAGAAAAAAGAAATGCATAAACACAGGCTGATGCATGAAAATGTTCACAATGTCATCCATTCAACCAAAAACTTTCAACACTCACAGCTTCAGCCATTGGCGGCTTTTATCGATAGACAGGTGAATGGGTAGCTGAATAAATGGATGGATGGATGGATGAGTAGGTGTTTAGTGAAAGAAAAGGAAAAGGAAGAGGAAGTAGTAATGATAGTAATAAACTCGTCGGAGAATTGCGTAGGGTTGGGAGAAGATGGGAAAGAGTGATGGGCTGCTCTCGCTTGTGGTAGTGAACTGTCACTGTCACCGTGTCCCAAATATCGCGGGGTCAAGGCCTTCGTCGTTTCCTACCTGAAGAAGGAGAGGGAGGATAGTGCTTGATGATACTGACGGAGACAACAATGACGACGAAATGTGAATGACAATCCTATCTGAGCGTTCCCGAACGGAACAGATTCACAACCTTCAATAACAAGGATCAAAAATTTATTAAATGGAAAAAAGTATTTGCAGGAAATACATAGCAATACTTGGATATTATATTAGATTTATAGATATTAAATTCAAGAAAAAAAGAGACTGAATAACATTTAGAAAAAAATATAAGATAACTAGAAATAAAATGATAGAAGCTGAAAAATATCATACAAAAATATGGGTTAAGGCTTTTAAAGGCGAAAAAAAGTGATACAAAGATGTCGATGATGTCCTTTCTGAGGAAATGCAACCTTGATTGAACTGATTGAGCCGGTTGGGGTCGAAATTGGAATGGGGGACAAACTTTCGATCTCGAAGTTGGAACGGGGGACAAACTTTCGACCTCGAAGTTGGAATGGGGGACAAACTTTCGACCTCGAAAAGATGAGCAATAGGTAGGCAAAGCTACATGTATCTGCATATAACGAGGCCAAGGTTTCACCAACCTTCACAACTATCGTCCAACTTTCCTTTTTCCGGCCTTCAGTTCAATCATTTGCGCGATCAGCAACTCGACGATATCAACTCAACCTCTACGACACATTTTCTTTGGTTCAGCTTTCATCATTAAAAATCCCTTATCAATTCAAATATTTTTTGTAAGTTCAATCTTCTCTATTTACTTTTCTTTACTAATCTTCTATAAGTCTCATTTCTCCAAAAATGATCCACTAACATTTTTAAAGAAATTATTAGGAATGAAGACTATAACTGTTTAATCACGAAGTTATGAAATGAAAATGTGGCAATGAAATTGTATTATTATGAAAAGTATTGTTTTAGTCACGATCGTTTCATCTACTACTCTCAAATCGTCATATTTATAGAAATTAATTATTATTTATTGTAAGTATTAATTAATGCCGATCTAACCGAAATTTAAAATATAATTGATGACAAGGTATTAATTGATCAACAATGATTTTAAAATATCAATTGAATGAACTATAATTTACTACTTAGTATCACTTCCCATATCATAAGAGTTACTGCAGAGGCAAACTCCTCTTACTACACCTCTAATTATTGAGTCCATTATCACTCCTTACTTCTTATGTGATAAAATTTTATTGTTTTTTTTCATCTTATAGAATTGTAAACTTCGTTATGTGTAAATTTGATAACATTAATTGGTTTAATCCTCGTATTACTTTCAAATATTTGCATATTTTCGGTATATATCAAACTGTCATTGTTTTACCTTCACTTGCTTAATACTTTACTAAAACATCAACAGTTGCATTTGTTTACTTCACATTCTTTATGTCGTAGAGAGATCGCACTAAAAGCATGTGGTTTACAATTCTGTTTTCTCCTACACATATTCGAAATATTTTTGAAAATTAATTTGAATTACTTTGAAATTCAGTTTCCACGCTGGTAGTAAAATGGTGAAATGATGATTTGTTGTCGGTATGAGCAATGAATCATTTCTCACTCTTATTTGAAAAGGAAAATTTTTTCATTCTCTGATCTTTTTCAAAATCAAGTTTTTTCATACATTTTTCAACTGTCTGTTTAAAATATCATTTATGAAGTTAAAGCTTTTAAAACGTGAATTTTTAGAATAAACGAAAAATTCTTTGGAATCTAAACAGAAAAATTTTATAAATTTCAATTCCAAATATTTTTATCAAAAATCCAATTCTCTTCATCATTTCACTTGTAGATTCACAATTTCGAAAGTTGGGAATAATAAAAATCAAAATGTTTAGGCGAAAATAAAAATCACTTTATAAATTTCTTTTTTGCATTCGCAGTTGCTGATCATCAGAATTCAATATAGTTTATGAATTCATATCATGTTACCTTACGATTACGTATCGTTATCGTTAGAATTTACGTATCGTTACGACGAGTTTAGTGTAAGTAGAAAATAATAAATATAAGCAAACAAAAATCTGCAAAGACGCAAAAAAATCATACATTTTGGACAAGGTCATGATGACGAGATCATCATTGATTTTCAATTGTCGTGAAAAATTCATTCAATTTGTGTCCTACCAATCAATTTCTTTCCCATCGCTTCATTGACCTTCCGCGTCCGAACTATGCACTTATTATAATACGTAATTATTGTTCAGATCTCTCTTTTAGCTATCATATCAAAACTTCTATCATCGACGATAAAAAATATGATGAAAAATAGATGCTAAGATATTCTTTCGAAATTTCTTCGAATTGTAATATTTAAAATAATTTCAAAAAGATATAATAAATTTTATAATAAAAGATAATAAAAGATTATTATCTTTTATAATTTCAAATAATGAAAAATTATTCGTTTTAATTTCAAATAATTTGATTCATTGAAAAAATAACTCATTGAATTATATTTTTCGATGAGATAGAAATCAAAAAAGAATAGCCGCAAAATATTTATTATATTGTTTTATTCCTTCATTGGTTGGAATCAACCTCGGATTGCGCAAGTCTTTTTGGAAAAAGAGAGATATGAAAAATGACGAAAAGAGAAATGGGAAGATCGATAACAATGATAAAGCTATTCTCTTCAACTTACTCTCTCAATTCATCAAGCGAAATAAACATATTTTTAAGAGAACAAATGAAAAACTTCCCTAACTTTCTTTATTTGAACAGAAATTTTGAATAATTAAAGAAAAGGAAAAATTAAAATTTTTTAAAAAATCGTCTGCATTTTATTCTTTTCCAAAACTTTTAAATGACAAAGAGATCAATTAAATGCGCAAATGAAAATGAGATTTGTTAGATTTCTTTCGTCGTACAGTAACGAATCAAAGGCTTAGCAATCAATCGAACAAAACAATTACTGACCTTCAAAAAGTAATTTAAAGAAATATGAGATTAAATGAAATATATAGTTCTTTTAAGCTAACTTTCTAACTGTTAACAATTGCAATTATATTTTCAAATTGAAATATGTAAAGAGGAAATAATAGCTCATCCTCTAAATTTTTGTTTGATTTAGTTTTTGCAATAAATAATTATTGGATGTTATCGTTGTAAGATCAGCGATGATCCATTTCTGAAATTGCGCAATCGATGTGACTAAACTTCAATCATTCATTCATTCATTTACTTCCTACTTAAACTCTTTCATTTATTTCAAATACTTTCAATTTATTTGCATTTTAAAGCGATTCTTTTTTGTTTTTTTACAGTATATCTTAGAAAAGAATTTTAAATTATTAATTATTCAGAATAAAAGTTTCAATACAAACAATTAATTTTATATTTGGAATAGTTTGAGTAAAGCATATTTATATAAATTCTTCCTTACCAGTCATTGATTATTGCAAAAATTTTAAACTTTAAGGTTTAGTAAGAAGAAACTGTAAATGAATTAATTATTTCAGGAATTGGAAAACTGAAGTAATTTCCTAAAATTGTAATCTGATAAAGCGAAATTTAATTTCATCAATTGGTACGAAGAAAAATGTAATCTATGTCAGTGATTCTAATGATAAGGCCATTCATTCATTTTATATATCGGTCAACTCAACCAATCACCTTATGTTATTATCACTGACACCTGTAAAGTGATGTTTTGCTCTCACTTCATTCTCTTTCATATTGCTGCAATTTTGCTTGGTATAATAACAATGCCTTTTCATACATTTTCTATGCGAGGGATTTTACTGTCAATCACAAATATTTGCTTGCATATGCTAATACTAATTTTATATTTGCATGCAGGTATGATAAAATTTCATTCTTTTTTGTAGTGATAAATACGAAAGATAATCTTAACTTTATTTCACTAAATTAATTTTACTCATAACGGAGCAGCAATTATGATGATATGAAGACTTTTTCATATAATATATTCAAAAAATGTTTAGAATGTATTTGCAATTTTGTGATAGTTTATGATAAACGCTATGATAAGAAACAATCATACATAATAAATTCTGCTAATTCATATAGCATATTTAAATTAGCTATTCAAAATCAGCAACTTTTTAAATTTACTGCATTAATGATTGCTGATTCTGTTCTATATATATATATATATATATACTATATACTTCAAGTAAATTTTTAATGAATTTAAAGTTTTCATCGTTTTAGCATATCTTCGGTAAAAGATGAAAAGTGACAAAGTTATTGTAAGTGGGATTAAACTGAGAAAGCAAACTTATTAAGCATAAATTTTAGTGATCGTTGAAAAAGCTTAGAAATTAACAAATTTTGAATAAATGAAACGTGTTTTTTCTTTTTAAATATAAGTTTTCTTTTTATCTTATTTGTTAAAATAATTTACAGGTCGAATATTAATACTCCTTGGCTCATATATTTGGCATCGGAGACAATCTATTTTGGTTATATTTCGAAATTGACAAGCCAAAAAGAATCTCAAACACCTGTTAAATTCATTTGAAAGCATCAAAAATTATCATTGATAGATAAGATGAAATAATAATGATATCAGTAATTTCGGCGCCTCTATTACGTTGCACTTCTACTGAGCAAACAAAACAGATTTGCGAATACTAAAACAGTTAGCTTTAAAATATATTGATTTATAAATTAGTTGATTCCATCTTTCAAATTCTTCGAACTATACAACTTAACAACAAAACTGTTTAAAAGAAAGGAAAGCAATTATAATTTATAAATTCGTTTATTTAAAAATCATTTCAAGTGGTAGCTTGGGTAGCTGTTAGTATAGGCTTTCTTTCTTTGATATAAGTCAATGTGATGGAACAGAACTTATGAAACTATCGTAATGCTACTATTTTTATAGATGTAATAAATATGCAAACTTGAGTAATTCTTAAACACTTTTTCATTTCCAGAAGAACTATTGAATTTCATTTTTGATTTCATATTGTAATCGTTACTAAATATGTGTTATTGATTTCTCTAGATTAGGGGAGATTATAACGATTAGGCTGCCTATTTTTTAATAGGGCAATTATTTTCTTACATTTCCTACATAAATGAAAGTTTGATTTAGATATGTTGTTGAAGAGAATGGAACAGCATTAGTTATAGATCGGTTCACTTCCTGATCAATTTTAAAAAGATAAATGAAATTTTAACAAAAGTAATTCAATCTTATTTGTTCAACTTTGTTTTTCTAATGAGACAGTAATTTCTTAGAAGATAAAATGATGGAAAACTTTGATGAATCGAAATTCACTGCTAATGCTTTTTGCAAAGAATGTTATATTTTGTTAATATTGTTTATATGTAGAAGTTAAGAAATTTTATCACTCTTTTTTATTAGAATGCTTAATGATTAAACAATGTCACATTGGTTTTTTCTTCTTGACAGCTTCATGAATATTGTTTAGAAGCAAGTAAATAAATGAATCGATTTATGAAAAAACTATAAATGAACAAAATCATTAATTCTGCGATTTTGTCTAAAATAGAAAAGATTATCGTAATCGTTACAACGTTTATAAATGACATTTCATGTGCTAAATGTAGACGTGAACGTTTCTAATGTTTAAATCACGTATTCTGCAATAAACAAAGAATAGAGTTGAGTGTAGTATTATCTATTAGCAGCGTTAAGCTCCTTTGTCCATAATGTAAAGGTGGAATGGCGTAATTGTTTGTGATCCTGCCAACCGGATGTATTGCTCATAAATATTTATGAGTATATTAACATTTCAAATTATTACGGTAGAGAAAGGCCAGAATTCTTTGATGAAGCCAATGATGTATGTACAAATTATGACGATTGGAAGAAAATTGCATATGCGCTTATTCGCCAACAAAAATAGCCTAGCATTTTTGACACAATTAAATCGTTTATGTATCAAAAATAATTTGGCCAATAATTAGTGTAAAAATTAAGCCGTAAACTTAGTAACAAATCCAGCAAAGAACAAACTGGTGATTCAAAGTAAAATAAAACGAAATAAATAGCCATTAACAATGAATTTATATAATAATTGAAATGTCTAACACTAATTAAGGATAAAACAGTGATATAGGTATTTAAAAAAAGAAGTAGCGAGATTAACCAAGGAGCTTTGGTCCGAGATATCTCAGTATGTTTTATTATATTTAATGTTTTTAAGCAATTTTCAATTCCTTTATGCAAAAATTATTTTAAACATGTTTTGCTTATTTTTTAAGGCACAAAAATGCCATTTTGAAGAAAGAATATTTTCTCGGAGTACAATCTTAAATTTGAATATATTTCACAAATGTATATCACACGGGCATTATATTGCTTTCAAATTTAATAGATCCCTGTAGCAATTATCATTATTATCATTCAAGAGGTCAAGTATAAAACACAATGATAAGCAAAATAGAGGAATATAATTCAGTGATTATAGAAATGGATAAAGAAGCGGTATTTGTCTGAGACATTTTAATTGATGATCTACCACAACGAGTTTACGGTGTTGTAAATGTGCCATCATTTGCTATGAGCCTTTTCAATGGTAAGCCATGTTTTACCGTCGTTATCGCTCAAAAATGCTGGAGAAGAAGCTGAAAAATAAAACAAAAATAATCTGTTAATTTTTATCATCAAACAATGAGGCAATGCAAAATGCAAATGACTCACTCGTAGTAGAATTGATCTTGACAACTTTCCGGCCTGCAAACAAAAATTATTAAAATTATTTTAATGATGGAAAAACAAAATGATTTGAAAAATGATTGTGACGAAAGGACCAAATTTTGCCTATTAATATTAAATTTGTAATTATCACAGCTATAGCAAATGAATTGTTCAAAAGTAAGTAATAAATATTTACTGTTAAAAGCAGGAATATATCCATAAGCGCTATTATTTGTGCGACCGGTAATAAAAATAATGTATAGGCCATCAGCATAGAAGAAATGGAAACCAGATGATACAGTACCGGTTGCATAATACAATGAATTATGTAGAAATGGTAGGACAGTAAATGATAAGCTAATTTCGCCATCAAAAAAGGCACTTGACATTGCTTTATAATCTGCTATCACCTATAACGAATATTTTCTTTTGTTTATCAGAACGTATACTACGTCTGTTTTTACATAGCATTAAGCAAAAGGATACTTTGACATTTGCTCATTTTCATTTCTTAATTGTAAGGTGTCAAAGAGGCTTACAGTAATTTGATTGCTGTCGCTGGGTACGATAATTGGAATCATACCGGTGATAAATTGTGAAATGGTTGGTACCTCATGCAAATATCCACCTTCCTCATAGTTCAATGCTCCAACATTGTAACCACCATAACGGATAACATTTAGCATTATTCTGAAATATCTAAAATTTTTTAAATCCATCAAATTATTCTAATATATGATAGTACTTATATTGCACTGTTTTAATCCCATTTTTCAGCTGCAATTATTTATGTTATATAATACAACTTACAACTGATTTGATATTATTACAATGAGCGAAAATTACATCATCTAAATACAGATAGACGCATACGTAGTACTTATCGCAGCCATGTTTCCGTATTCATCAAGTATCACCGGATTGGATGATTGAATGGAAGTGGATAACAAATGCTTCGTCTTGACAGCTTTATTCGAACCGTAAATCGAAATTTCCACTGATCCACATTTAAAGGATGGTGGTGTTAAGAAATAGTATTTTCCAGTAAGCAATGGTGTCACATGGCTATCTCTCACTGATAACTTATCGCAATCTGTAAAGAAAACAAACTTTTTTCTTAGATTTTATAGTTGAATAAAAAAATTACAGAATTGCTATAAATTATTTGGTCTGATTTTCTCTTTTTACAATACTATTGTTCATTTTACTATTATTTTAGTAGAAAATAAATTTTTAAAAGAATTGAAAAGTACATTTTCGAATAAGAAATTCTTTAATATTAATTGCTTACAAACCCATCGTTGGCATTGGGCTTGGCATAAAGCAGCCGAAATCAAGTATATTTGATTTTTTCTTTGTTGGCAGTCCACGTACGGCTGCAACGATGATGAATGTAAAATTACTGCGCGCCCAAAACGTAACGCTTTTTCCTGATAAACTGAATACCAGCATTTTACCTACCTGTAATATTATTATCACATAATTTGGAAAAATTGTAGGGAAGTTTGTGTTGCTGCATATTAACAAATGTCAATTTACATTTAACAAATCTTCTAAAAATTCGTAAATCTATTCTTTTGAAGATTTACAGATTTTTTTTGTCGAATAGAATACTTTTAATATCATCGATTGGTAAAAAAACTAAGGAAGAAAACAAACTTTTGCAGTGTATTTGCAGGAGGAAGAGAATGCTTCATGGACAAAATTAATAGTAATATACTGATTAGGCTCAGCTTTCACTGGCAGAAAATAAATAAGTGTTGAACCGGATGACGATGATGCCGGAAGTGTAAATGCATAGTGATTTCCAGCCATCGATATTGGCAGTACTGTAATTATTGAGGAATTTCGAACAACACGCTGACTCAAGATCACTAATGTATTTCAAGAAAAAGTTATTTAGAAATTATAAAAATATCAGTTATATAATTTATAAAATACGCTATTTCGGTCAAACCATTAAAATTCTTAAATAGAAATTAACTAAAGAATTTCAATTCGATTTTGAGATGCATTATATGTTTATAATTACTATAATTATTTAATGAAATAATGGAAAAACCAAGAAAGCTGTCTTGTGCGCCATAAACATCCATACTATTTGCTATAAGAGTAATTGGGATTGTGGAATGAACAACGATTCGAGCATCTAAGTATGAGCGCAAACCGTTGGTAATGTTGTCCAGAATTACCGACTTATGAAAATTAAGCTGAAAAATACTGAATTCGAATTGAAGGGTACACGTAGAATCACACTATTAAGATATCATTTTAACCGATTTCATTCTGGATATTTTTCCTCCATTGAACTTTTTTTAAATTCAATTATTTTGTTTATTTTCGTATATTTGTCTATAAAACTAAAGTTTATTTCAATCGTAAAACCGATTCGTCAGGAAATGCACCTGCGATAAAACATCGCAGTTTACGCCAGCCATATGAGCATGAAAAGAGAAAGAAGCGAAATAGCGAGAGAAATGAGATTGAAAGCATTTCGAAAAATTGAAAATATGCTTTTATCTTATAAGGAATAAATTGTAAATTACTTTTATGCATTAATAATTTTGAAGAGACCGACGCAAAACTGAAGTGCAATTAACATTCTTAATAAAATAATCTGCTGGAATATCAAAAATAAGGATACCAGATTTCTGCTCATTACTTTGACAACCGAAATTGTGGTATGTCGTATTACTGTGATCTTATCACCAATAGTATTAAATTCCGGATATTCGATGGTGACATTAGCATGATGTCTTGTGTCCGGATTGATAATGCTTAATGTAGCGTTCATTCCGCTAGATCCACTATTATTTGGTGGGTATACAAAAATAAAATCGCGGCCATATGTGTCCACTTCTTCGGTGCAAACAACCACAAGGCACAAAGCTGCAATACAATTTCAAATTTAAATATCAAAACTGAAAATGAAACATGAAAAAAATTCTAAAGAATACTGACATTTGAAAGCTTAATTTACTTTTAAAATGTTTAAAAATCAATCTTCCTCTCCTAATCCATTAGTAATATGATAAAGGTGATAACTTTAATATACTGAATTAATGATATAAATTAGTTTTTACTAATTCATATGCAAAATTAAAATTTTAATTTTTTGAATGATTACTAATTTAATTCCTTATTTATAAGGAAAGATTGTCTTTTTTACAATCCTTGAAAAATAATATGATTTAACCAATAATTTTTGGTTTGATCTTTGTAATCAATGAAAGAAATGAGAGATCTGACTTCGTGATCACTAAAAGGTATCGGGAAATAAGAAGTATGATTTTGCTGATAATGATTTTATCTTTACTTGATAATCTATAATTTATCTTATGTATATATTTTTGAGTCCAAAAACAATTTGTGTTAAAGAAATTAGGATTTAAATTACCTGCAAATATTATTTGCCTGTTGAAATATGTCATGCTCGTAGTTGACTAAATTTCGTAAATAAGAATCATTTTCTAAATACATTGTGTACTCGTCTATTTGATAAAAACCATTTTATCAGTTTATCTCAGTGCCGAAATAATTTCTTATCAGAAAATGGAATAACATAAATTTTTGGAGTTGGCTAGTAATGCAAAATATTGATGTTTGTAAAATTACATATTGTAAACATTTCTTGATAAGCAAAAATTTTCAATTCAAAATTGAATTTTAATAATGTTTGAGATTTGATTTTATAAAAGATAGTTTTCTAATTGTTTGATTTGTTTATTTTAATTTCGCATCAATAACTTGCGTACGAAAATTATGCATAATAATTAATTACCAACGGTTATCAATTCTCTTCGAACAAAATGAGCCAAAAAATAAATTGTATAGTTTAGATTATATATTTCCGGAAAGTTTTATTACTCTTCCATAAAAGATAATTATCCTGTCACTTTTTCTGATTGTGGTCACTATGAGATCTGTAAGGAACAGAAGAATCGCTTTGCATTGTACTTTTCTTGACCTTTTGCAAAACGAGATATTATGAAGAAGTGCTTGTTAATGTGATTGCTTCATGACTTTTGTATTTTGACATTATTTCGTAAAATTCCACTTTGCAGAATCTCCAAGATAGGACAGTTAAGGCCTCTGAATCTTTCTGAAATGATCAAACACTTCTGAATCTTTCTCAATTATCAAAAATTAATTCCATTTTTCTTCAAATAAGTGAACAAACATTTTACTTGTTGTTTAGCATATCTTTGAAATATTTTATAAAAAGTTAGAATAAGGCTGAAACAGTTGTTTATTCTTATATCAGAATATTAATAATATGGACTAAACAATAAACAAACATTTACTAAACAATTCTAATTCAAATATTAAAAGAAGAATAAAGAGATATAAAGATAATAAATAAAAGGAGAGAGAGAAAGAGAGAAAAATCAACAAAAAAGAATAATTTGTTTAAAAGTTTCAAAAAAATTATGACAAAAAATTTGATATAAAATAAAAAGCTAATCAAAATCAAGAGATTTATTAATGAATTTGTAATTCTTTCTTTGTTTTAATATGTGTAATAATTAAGGATGGTAAGATTGTTCCAAAATTCTTCCTCTTTACCAAAGTTTCACAAATTTCAAAATCTTTCTTTTCATCAAAATAAAATTATTACTAATTCATCCAAATTTCTTGAATATATGAATATAACTTCTAACATTTCTAAAGATATTTAAATATCCTTTTAAATCATTCCATAAGCTGACGACAAGAAATTTCAAAAAGTTGCAAAATTTTCTTGTGATAGTTTTTTGTAATATTTAATGTCTTGCCACTTTTTTCATTTGAAAAGAAAGTAAGCAATATCACCTAAAGATAACGGAATTCAGCTTTCTTTACTTTCATCAGTTTTTGCCGTTTCTTCAATTACACCATAATTTTGATCCATCCGATCCTCTTTGAGTGTTTTAATTATAATAATAGTTGTTAGAATAGCAGAAAGTAAGAGTGATATGAAAGTCGATGATAACCAAAAATTTGATGGCCTTTCACAGCCTTTTGGGCATGGCAACAAAGTGAATTGTTTTTTTGTTTTAATCGTTTCCTGAAAAAGTAATTCATTTAAAAAAAGAGAAAACAGAAAACAAATTTACGAACAATAATTCATTTTGGAATGATCAATTTTTGCAATTTAAGAGATACATTTAACTCAAACAAATTTCAGCATAAGTCTGAACACAATATTAAGTGATAAGATAAATGATTTTATGCATATCGTTGCACCATTATCATATCACCTTATGATTTTCTCATCTTTTTTTTCTATTGCATGGAAATTCTGTATTTTTTCAAATAGCATTATTTTACATTTGAAAATTTACTCATAGTTGTTTTTATCATTCTCAATTCTTCTATTATTACTTTAAAAAAAACTTTAATTTTTTTACTTTTTTCAACAACTTAAAAACTTCATTGAGATCATACAATTTTTTAAGCTAATTTAGTAAATGCAAAAAAAATTACAATTTTGTATTTTCTTTGTTTTCATAATTTGTAAGTAGAAATAGGAAAATAATATCAAATTAATACTAAACAAAATTGTTATAATTTGATTTCATTTATTAATTTAATCGCATTTACTAGCCTTTTGATCAAATTAGTTGTAAGAAAATTATCAGAAAGGATTAAGAGAGCTGATAGCAAAGCCTAAAAATTAACAATCCTTTGACATTTACTGCAAGCATTATTACCAACCAATGTTGCTATATTATCTTCGTAAATCAAAGGTGTACTTACAAAAGCAGTAGAAACAAAAGCCATTATAGTTCTATTAATAAGTTCTGTTGTTAGAATGACACTATCGTTATTGAAATAATTACGCTCCATATATTCCATTATTCTGTCAATGCTTTTCTAAAGATTAAACAAAAATGAGATATTTCATGGATAATTTGATAAGAAAGAAAAACAATAAATAATGCAATGAGCGATTATATTACATTAAAAAAAATTATTCAATTTCAAATAAAAGCCGACTTTTGAAACTAACTTTTGCTATTTCATCAGAAGAGGACAGCTTTCCATAATGTTCTTTTGTTGCTATTAAAATATTCACCGAAAATTAAAATCATTGAAGTTGGGACATTAAATAAAAAATAGAAAGGTAAGTAAAGGTAAACAATGGAACCAATTTGAATTACATACTTTTTTGCATACTTCTATTTCATTGTCTTTGGAAAACTTTTATAAATCTTTCATTTCAAACCCTTTATTAAAGAGAGTAACAGAATTTTAAGAATTGTAAGCTAACTTATATGATCCATTAGTTGAAATTTAATTTATTATCTTTGATTTTTATCAAAAAATCGAATTCCTTTGCATCGCTAACTACTTTTATTATATACTTCCTTCCATAGGCCTATTTCAAATAGATCGCCAGATTGTATTATCCATCAAATTTCATCAAACAAACAAATAAACCTGTGTGGTAACATATCGAAAAAATGCGCCCAAAAGTATTTTATTAAAAAATTGAGTTGTTTTGTTCCAACATGATAGATTCTGTAAAAAATTACATAAAAATTTGATGAAATTATTTGATGATACTTTAGATTGTCATATTTCAGGTATGCTAAAGGTAATTTAAAATATTTAAGAAATATCGAACTTACGAATACACTTCTCTTTTTAACTGTTTGATTTACTTTATTTTTTCAAACGCTTTTAATTGGTAGAAAAAAAAGTCTAATAGTAAGCAAAAATATAATTGCAATTTATCCTCGATTTAAATAAGCTAATATTCTCATACATTGATGACAACTAAAATTGCAGTAATCGATAGAATTTGATGCAGAAAAATGCGAACAACGACAGTAATGATTCGAAAGTGATGCAATAAGTAGTAAGAGAGCAATAAAATCATAAAGATATTAAAATAACAAGTTAAGATAAATTTAAAACCTCATCGAATTTACTGGAGCAATGTGAACTGCATCCTTCCAAGAACTCAACATGCGTTTCCCCTTCACTAACTGATACCAGTGATAATAGAAGTAGCGCAATGCCATCCATTGATTATCAATACTTCACCAATCCTAGATCACTATAAATAACATGATCCTATAAAAGAAAATGATTTAATATGATTAATTCTTGTAATTTCGTACAACTAATACTATTAAAAATAATTTGGATCTTTCATCAATAACGATTACAAGCAATTAATTCAACAAATTTTCTACAAATTTCTGTAATTGTTAATAATATTGATAAAATTGATAATGATAATGTAAATTGCATTAGGAATATTACATTAATTAATGATTTTTTTATTATTTTTAATATTCCTATCGAAATTTGAGCACATAAAAAGGAAAAAATAACAGAGAGAAAGAATAAAACACAAAAAAATACGATGAAATTTTAAGGGAAATTAAATAAAATGTCACTAACATTGATGTTGGCAGCTTGATAAAATATGAAATTTGAAATACAAAGGAGTCTGTCTCATTTAGCGATCTGTAAATGGCATGTAATCCAAAGATTAAAAAAATTTTTGCTTTTACATTCATCATGTAAAGGTATATTATGTATAATACGTAAAGGTATAATAGTATCATTGTTGTAAATGTTTGAGGAAGCATTAGTTAAATTAACAAATTCAACCACCAGTAATACAACGCTATTCGCTTTGGCTCTCACTTTTAAAACTTTGGTAAATTAAAATCAAAAATAGATTGAACTACAACTTCAAAACAATTCTTCGTGAAAAATTTCAAGAAATTCGATTGATGAGAGAATATAATTTGCTGGGACAAATTCTTCTCAGTAAGATATAAATTATAAATGGGTGACTGATTGTTGTTACATTTGTGCAAATAAATTTTAACAAAAATAAATGTTGCAACATTTATGATCGTCCTGATAAAATCAGAAAGATTATCATACTTTTTTGTATTTTCAGGCCAAAAGAAAAATTTATTTGCACGAATGTATTTCGGGAGAAAAGTGAAGATCGCGAACTTTAAATTTTGCTTTTGAAAGTAAAATCAGAGAGTTCAAACCTTTTCACTTTCTTATCAAAGATGTCAATCAACCTTTCACTCTCTTATCAAGATGATAGTACATTTCTAATCTAAAACTGTGAAATTAAATTTCTCAGTTAGTATTTTAGCAGTTATTTTATGAAATTTTAAATTATAACTGAAAAGAGAGAAATTTTTCAAGATTTAAAATTAGTTAAGTTTAGAAAATTAAAAAGTTCTTTTCCTCAAAGTAATGGCTAAACATTGAAGCGAATAAACTAAAGAACAAACATACATTTCACTTTATTTCACCCATTTTTAAAGTTTATAAAAAATTTTCTAAATAAATTTATTCACAAAGAGATCGGAAAGAAACACCTGATTAAAAGGTGTAAACATTAACAGACGCACTTCCCTTCATAATCTTTTTCATTCCATTTTTCAAACTTCCTTATCGATACAAACGTATGTCTGTCTCGTTGTTTCATGTACACTTTCTTGTTTAATATGTATCTATGTGAATGTATGTGTGTATATATTGTACAAATGAAGTTACATACAGGTATAGACACACAATTATTTTAACATCAATTTTGTTGTTAAAAATTAATGTTAAACATTATCAGCTGCTATCATTGTGATCATCTAAGTTGGCAATGTTACTTTCATAAAAATATGTATTTTTTGCATCGCAATTATATTGAGTAATTCAATACGATTGTCCATATGTTACTTATCTTATCTATGATAAAGAGTGAATCATATTCGAAAGTTGTAAAATACAACAATTAATATAATTAAAAATTAATTAATAAAAATGCAACAAATATTTCGTTTTTAAATATGAATTTGCAGATTTATACATATGTGAATAACATACATGTTGAATTGCACAAATTAAAGGATCTTTTTTGCTTATTTTAACTCTAATTAGGCTTGAAACAATTTCTCGATATATTGCTCAATTTCGATACTATCATGAAACTATCCGTATTTAATTTGTGGTTTGAGGAAAACTACTAGAAAGATCTCTTTATATAATATTGCTTTATCATACCATTGATAAATCATCTTAAATTATCTCATCCTATTTAATACTATCATTTTTTAATTTTCAAAAATATTTTTGATTCTCGGATACCAATTTAAAATGATTCCAATGTAATTTCATATCTTATTACTCCATGCAATCTGTAAGAATGAAATTTGATCATATATTATTTATCATATGTACTTCGAGCTTTTTATTGATCTTCGATCATTTATCACCGCCGTTCGTAACAGTCATTTCTGCATTGGCTATACTTTAAGATCTTATTCTTTAGAGCGATTCATATGTAAATTGATTTATTTGTGACACTGATGAAATGGTAGCAATAATGAGATGTCATCCATACATCTGTCATTTGATATTTTCTGCAGAGTAGAGTGAAATCAGATGGCGCATTTCATCTTCACTATTTAGAATGAATGCTAGAAGTGCATAATCAAATTGCTTTATAATGAATGAACACACACACACACACACACACACATACATACACATATATATATATATATATATATATATACATTGCGTTACATGCATATTATCGCGAAATTTGAAATATGTTTAAATAATAAAAATAATTTATGTTGAAGAATTACTTCTGAATTAACTAATTCATTGCATAAATTGTAATTGTAATTTAACGAATATTACAATGTCTAACACAATGAATCATTTAGCTAATTTCTAACCTTTTTTTTTTGATTCTTGTGCTTATCTTTAGTGGTTAAATTACCGGAAATTAATTCTTCTGTAAATGTCTTCGGTCTGATAACCAGTCATGTTTCAATCATTATACTGTTATCAGGTCGTTCTTTCTGCAGCTTTTACATACCTATCCTTGTATCCAATAGGATTTTATAAGAATATCCGTTCTAAACCACCCCTACTCTATATACGTAGGGGTCAAAAGAAAAGTTCAATGACTCTTTGATTTCTACCTTACTTCTTGCCAAAAAAATTGTCTCCTTCAGTGTTATACTACTATTGACATCCAACAATCCCTCCCGAATTAACGAATTAAGAAAATCCCCCCAAATTGATCAACTCTATTTTAGGTAATTAACATACAATAACGTTAATAAAGAAAATCTCTCCGAAAGAAGAAAATCAATTCTCACCAAATATTCGACTGTACTAAAGCTGTCCAAAAACAAAACAGAAAAAAATCAAAACATACATACACACACACACACAGACACACACACAGACATAGATGCACTCTCTTTCATCTATAGAAGTATTCGAACAGACAAATCAATTGCCAGTTGAATTAGCATGAGTTTATGTGTCGAATTTGAAGATATATTATCGGTTGGAGAAGAGTTGTATTGCAATCTTTTACGCTGATTCGATCTTTGTATTACATATTTTTCAATGTCAAATTTTTGACACCGATAATAATTCAACTGTTCATCATTATCGAGTTGAAATCAAAACATATGTAAATCATATTCTGTCACTTTGTGTGAAAGTGTTTAACCATCATTTCACTTAAAATGAGAGAGCAGAAAAATTTATTTGTTTACAGAGCCTTTTTCTTAATGCACTTCCATTATAGCCTATTACATTCAGTAAAATGAATTCAAATTCGAACTAATAATATAAAGTTTTCTATTATTATTGTTTTCAATGCTTTCATATTGCAGAAATAAAATTTTAGTTCAATTATTCGAGCATTTGCTTCTTATCATTGCTTTGTAAATAAAAAATTATCTGAAATGTCTGATGCAAAAGAGAAATAATTTACACACTCAAATTTACTATTTTTAGGCATTCAGCGTAATTAATTTTTCTTTGAATCCAAATTCTCTATTTTTTCCTAATTGATTCAATTCATACATGGAAGGCATTTCCCAGAAAACGTCGTATTGCTTCCGCTAATTTTGATAAAGAATTCTGGAATAACCAGAGAGAACATCTTTTCTCTGTCTCTATCCCTTCCTGAAATATAAAGAATGCTACTTGCGACAATTGGACATTTCCAATCCAAACATTCATTCATTCATTCATCCATCATTGATTCTTCCTACGGGAATCAATGAGCAACAAACATTTGCAACTTCTATGACGTCTTTTCACTTTTTCAATGAAATAACATCATTGCTATAGTTACGCATAACAACGATCATCAAAGTACGAATTAGCTTCTGCTACTTCTCAACTTCTTTTCATTACTATTTAAGGCTGAGAATGAGAATCCCCGAGAATACTAGTATGAAAACAACGCTAAAAATGAATTAATAAAACGAAAATTCAACCATTCATTTATACTTCTGATCACTGCTACTTTTCATACGTTGAAATTTTGGAAATTTATACGAAATTAATTTATAGCTGCAAGAATATCCTTTAATAAAAGAATGCGATTTAACTAATTCTCCTCTGATGGCATAGTATAAAATAAAGAATATAATTGACCAAAATGAAGGATATATATTCATAGTGCTTCTTATATCTTTCAATCATTCTCTGAAAAATAAAGCCAAGGCCTGATTTTGTTTAATAAAACAAATTGCCTATTAAAATGTCCTTTAGCGCAAAAAGGCGGAATTTCAATATGACGTCAAATAAGCCAATGCAAAATCGATAAAATGACTATTATTTTCAGACTTCTGGCCATATTCTCCTTCTGGCTCCTTTCGTTTTTTCATATGAGGCTATTCAAATTTTTTCTTTTTAGCAAATTTGTATTCAAAGTTTTAATTGCTTGAAAAGAAAACTCTTCAAAAATAATGGTCATTTTTGAATTAGTTTTTTTTTAAATTCATTTTATTCATTCAATTTCAGAACTATTTTTGTAAAAAACAATGAGATCCTATAAGTGGTAGTACCACTGCGCTGCCAACAACGAATGAATATTTGTACTTTTCTTTCAGTTCACTGGGGAATAAATTTTTGAAATACAATGATGAAATACGTCAATTTATGCTTAATGTAAATCTTAAAAAATTCTAACTCACATTTAGTTTTCTTTACTAACCATTTCATTTTCGTCAGTGTTCCAAATGTGCGGTAAAAATCTATTTCCTTCTTAACTTTACTCTTTTCCACATTTTTCTTTATTAATACTTAATTCCAAATATCGTTTTCATCCATTCACATCCATTCCAAATATCGTTTTAAAACAATTTTAACATTATGTGATTGTAAAAGAGTTGAAATCCGACTCCCGAGGAGAATTTGAAGATTCTGGTGAGAGAGAAAGACAAGAATTCCTAATCTTTAGTTTTGAATTTTAACTGAATATTTTAATAAATTTTTAGGTTATGCATGCAAAGTTATGTTGAATAAATTACTACAACTAAATCTTATTTTCTAGAAGTATCATAAATGTTAACGTTTTATCTCATTTGATTCGAATGATAATTGCTCAAAATTCGTCTAATTACAAAATTCACATATACGTGTTCCCTGAAATTCATTACATATATCCTGATTGTTCGCGTTGTAATAATTTAGACAAGTTATAAAAATATTATCAGTGAGAAGAAAGATATAAATATTGAAGTATTACAAAACGTGCTTCAAAATTTATGGTTGTAAGTTTTAATTCTCAAAAATTCCTTTCAGGCAAATCGACAAGTGTCCTTATTTCTTATTACATTAAAGCTGCCCCTCAAAATAAGTGCCCAACTGTTTATGCTTCTATTAAGTCGATTCAATTCATCTAAAATTTTCCATTTTTCATAATATTAATAGTAACATCGAGCATGGCTTTTTGACCGCTACACTATCCAGCCAGGATAGTTATGCATCAGGCGGAAAAGAATCCTCACTTTTAGCAGCTTTCACTGAACTGTTTTAATTTCATATTCTATTATTAATTACTGTTGTATCACAACTGTTTTTACTGCTGACACTGCGACAATTCCGCCGCCATCATCATTCTATTATTATTACTGTTTTTATCGCTACCATTAAATAATACATTTCCCTTTAAATTTTCTGCGATTTATAACTTTTACTTTCTTATACTATTCTTTCCAAATTATTCTCAATGTTTTGCTAATTTGATCATAATTATTAGCTCAGTGATTGATTAATCAAAATAAATAATTGTTATCTGTTAATGGTGGAAATTGAGACAATCCATTGAGAAATTCTAATTAAATTAATTTATTTAAATTAGCAACCACTCCAAATTTTCTTAGAAATTAAGGAAATTTTGAAACTAAAAAAGGGTTAGAAGTGAAAAGTGAAAGGAAGAAAAAGTAGAAAGAAGTTTGATGAAAAATGATGAGCGGCTGCTAAATGAGCTATGAAAGTTGGGATAGGATGCTATACAATATGGTTGTTTGGCATTATTCAACATCTCCGGAATGTTTGCAATGGTGCTATCCGGCAAACACATCCAATTGAACTTACTATCAATTCCGGATCCATAAGAGGAGAGTATTTGGTAAATGAAAATTTTCGTTATATCATAAATTACTTTCTTCTGTTTATTTTCAAAAAAAAAATTTACATATCGATGAGCTAATTACTGATTATATTTAAGTATCTGTATAGATCTCTCATTAAGTTATTAAAGACAAAACTTTTTCATTTTCAGGTTAACAGATGCTATTTTATTTTCTTTATAATTTAATGATTGCATTGTGCATTGTTAAATGTGATGAATAATTTATAAGTTTCGATGAATAATAATTACCACATAATGTCAGTATTTCTTAGAACTAAATTAAGAATAAGAAATATTTTCTTATCCAAAAATGTTGAAATTTTGTAAAAATGTTACATTTTTTCCAGACAATTGGTGCAAACGATTTTGCGGTTTTTAAAGGAATTCCATATGCTGCACCACCTGTTGGCTCACTTCGTTTTCAGGTAATTATATTTTAAGCAGTACATGACATATAACTAATTAATATCAAGATATATTATCAAGTTTATCTTCAAGTAAAACTGTAAATACATTAAAATATCTACTTAGTGTAAAATCATCCATCTTAAAATAACCTGCGATGTCATCTATTTACTAATAAAGCCATGAAGTGATTAGAAAAAACTGAACTAAGAATTGTGTGAAAGTTGATAAACTTTAATGCAAGTTGATCTTAAGTATAAATAAGCTTTCATTTAACCTCTAAATAAATGAAACTTCGAAAAAGAATTTTATGGAAACTGTTTTAATAATTCAACTTAATCTACTCATTCTTTCACATCTGTCATCATTCTCTCCCCTTTCTCCAAAAACGTTATTGTATTGACCTCTGTTGATCTCTATAGAGCCAATTTATGAAAATCATTTCATGAGATAGATTATCACTAATTTACATCAAAGTCCTGATAGAGTATCATAGTGCATGATTCGTGTATAAAAACAATCACAGCTGTTTTTAGATGCCAGAGCCACCAGCGAAATGGCGTGGTGTAATGAATGCAACTCAATATTCGGCCATGTGCGCGCAAAGGCCTCGAAATCGTCAAACCGATCCTGTCAATATTTATCGAATTTACATCTCCGAAGACTGTCTTTACCTCAATGTATTCGCTCCTCCTCAGGTATTACTTTATACTAAAAATTAGCAATCAATTAATGACACGTATCTATTAACCGTTATTGTCGCAATGATCATCTTTTCATTGCTTATTTCATGTTTTTCGAAATATATATGTAATATATTTCACCCTAATGTGTTTATTACTTAAATTCAGCTAACCGTTGCATAGGTTTGATGCTTGCAAAGAGAACATTGGCGCGATTCCAATTATTATTTATGGAAAACTTTTAATGTTAATATTCTAAACAAAATTTATAAATTCATTTCATTTTTCTTTCAAATTAAAAGATTGCAGAAGCTTGGATGATCATTCTCGCTTTCTTTTTATTAACTGAACATATGAAAAATTTTTTTGAAATTTAACTGTTCTGAAAAGTTGGTTCTACTACTTTCAGTTTACTGATGATACATATCCAGTGATCGTTTACATACATGGTGGAGATTTTCAATCAGGTTCCGGTTCCGATTTCTCGCAGGAAGCAATTCTCACTAATTTTGTTTCACGTAAAACTGTTTTTATAACAATAAATTATCGACTTGGTCCACTCGGTGAGTTTTTCACATACCGTCGGTGCTTTTTAAAGTGAATTCTCTTAATCGTTTACTGCCAGCTATATTTGTTTGTCAGTTTACATACGGAAGGAAACTGTATGTATCAATGATTTTATTACTTTTTACCTTATAGCAATAGAACGGCGATAAATTCAAATTGACATTGTAAATGTTTTAAATGTTTTGATTCTTCTGGAGTATATTATAATGGCGGTATTACAATGTTTTATTTTGAACTAAGTGACATAAACTTTTATTGTCCCATTTCGTCGGATTATACTTCATACGAAATACTTTTTATAGGTTTTATATCGACGGGAGATGGAGTGATACCGGGAAACAATGGTCTTTGGGATCAAATTTTAGCTCTGAAATGGGTTAAGGTTGCGTTTCAAGTTTAAAATAAATTTTTTCCTCATACTTTATTTTATAAACTGATTTATCTGATGTTACAGAAATAAGAATAAATAAATAAATTTAAAAGTTGAAAATATCCAAGATCACGTTGACATAATGTGCTTGCCATCATCATTTCAAAGCTTTTGTTTCAATTATTGTACTTCCAGTGATAAAATGTATCATGAAGCGAAAAAAGCAATGAAAAATACTAAAACGTTTTGGTTCACTGAAATGTTTACATAAATAATATATTATGAAAAGTAAGAATTCGAAACTTCAATGTTGCAGTTGAATGCCCGAGCATTTGGTGGCGATCCCGAAAATGTACTGTTAATGGGACATGGTAGCGGTGCTGCTAGTGTTTCCATTTTGGCGCTATCACCTCGTGCGGAAGGTCAATTTTAAATCCAAAAATTAACGATGTTCTAATTAGAAAATTTTGGGAGTACTATTTACAATCATAAAATTTGATAAAGGCTTTCTCTCGAATTTAAAATTTAAAATTTTAATACTGATAACTGGTTTTAATGGTCTTCTGATAAGAAGTTGAATATTACAGTCCATTTATTTTTTTTTTTGTTGAAAATTGGAAGCGAATGTTATTTAGGTTTGTTTCAAAAAATTGTTCTGCTAAGTGGAACAGCCTTATCACCAGGTGCTGTTCGTAATACTGCCATCAATGCTACATGGATTCTTGATCGTAAATTACACTGCCGTTCTTTTAATTCCAGTGAACTCTTGGAATGCTTGAAAAAACAACTGAAAGATGAAATTCTCGATGTCTCTGCAAGTGCTTTGCATATCTTTACAAATTAATACATCTTGATATTGCATTACTAACTTTCTTGCTTAATAATATCTAATTTATCTTTTTTCCTTGTTTTTTTTTTTTGAAAAAACTTCACAAATTTTTATTTTGATAATTTTAGGGAATGCATTTCGATGATTATGAGGAATTTGTGCCAGTAGTAGATGGTATCGGTGGTGTATTGCCCGAATCACCAGAAATGCTTGCAACATATCGGCGAAAAATGCCAATGATGATTGGTACAACCAAAGATGAAAGTTCACTAAAAATCTGTTCGCTTTTTATGATTGCTAATTATTGTCGTTTATTAATTTTGACAAATCAGCAATATTAAACAATTTTGATATCTCAATATTCTTTCCATTCTTCAAAATTCGTCTTAAATTATTGTTACTTTTCGTTTTGAGAAATATCAGTTTTTACTGAAATGCATTTTTTATTTCAGTAATTTTGAATGAAAAAAGTATAAATATGAGTATGCTGACGCAAAGTGCAGCAGAAGAAATGGTTGAAAATTTAACGCTTTCATATTCTGGTTTTACAAATCATCGTTTGATAATGGAAGGTTGTAAGCATGAATATATTTGGTCGAAGATCAATCCAGCTGTAGATTCATCAATATTGAGCGATGCCGTGCTAAATGTTTGTCAAATTCATTAATTTTAGCTTTTCTATAAAATCCATTCTTCATAGGATTAAGGAAAGGGATGAGTAAGTATTAGGGTATCAGAGGATAGCATATCTTCAATTTCTTAAAACCACGAATTAACTGTTTAAAGTTTGCAGATGTATTCGCATTTTTGGTATGATGCGCCAGCGTCAAGACTTGCAATATACTATGTAAAGGGCGGAGCACCAGTTTATTTATATTCTTTCGATCATATTAGTGAAAATTTTGAATATAGCAGTATGTTTTATTCTTAAATGCTATTCCTATCTAAATCGAATATATTTTTTAAGAAAGATTACTTCTTTGAGGAAAACCTTAATTATTAAGTTATTTAATTGCTTAAGTACAGAATGAATAATATTTGCTATTGCTCCATTATATAAGAATTGAAAAATGAATATTACTGTACGAAAGAGTGATGAGATGTGACTACTGACAAGGCCACACATAACATCTAACGCCTTCACTTTATCAAAACACTTTTTCTTCTCAGTTATTATTTCATTTCACGCAAAACTTGATATGGATATCAGAAGTACGGAAGGGTTAATAACAGATTGTAATATTTGATTTTTTAATTTTGTACAGGAGCCTTTCATGGTTGTGATGAAATATTCCTGTTTGATGTTGAACCGAGATTTCTTTTCAAAAGGCGTGATCGAAATTGGCAGTTGGATCGGAGGCTAACAGAAATTTTTTCTGAACTCATTATTAATTTTGCTAGGACTGGGTAAGATTCCATTTCAAATCTAAAAATCATTTTAGTATTGCTAGTCTGTAACGAATTTTCTCAGTAAAAGATATTTGATTTCCAACATCTTTACTGAGAAAAATGGTTTCCTAAGTATGTTTCTTACATTAGATATAGCAAAAAAGCATCTTTTCCGTCTAACTAATTTATACCTTAAGATAATCCTTTTCAAAAGATCATAGAAGCACTTCAGCAAATTACTATCTTTTATTGACGGCAGCCGGTTTGCAATGTCACTTATTATATATTTTCAAAAAGAATAGAAATAAGTAAACAACAAGTAAAGAATCTTTCATGTCATTTTATTAAGATATTCTATAAATTGCAATAGTTTCAAGAATTTAGCTATCATATTTTACGATGATTTCTTGTGTATTTGCTTTTTTTAAAAGAAATTCTTTAAACCAACAAAATAAAACAGAGAATTGAGTGTTACTTTAAGTAATTTCTTAAAAATTTATTGTTTGTTCCTATATGAGAAAAATTCAATTGCACGCATAATTACTGCAGAATTCCCACACCGAAATTTTCTGGATTCCCATTCAACTGGACTCCAATGAAGGTGGATAAATTAAATTATCTATCAATAACAGATAGTCCTGAAATGAAGGTTGGCTTCCGATGGCAAGGCCATGTTTTTTGGAATTGGTATACTCGTCATTTAGATTCTGTAGATGTTGGAAATTTGCATCGTATCGCTCAACTGGACAGACAACTCGGCGATTATCAAGTTTGTTTTAAATTATTCCTATACATCTAACTTGCCAATTAGCAATTATTCGATTGTAAGACTGAGATTTTAGGCCTTATTTTAATTCCATGATCTATTAATATCTATAATGAAGGATATAGGTCAGTAGAATTAGTGAAAAGGAATGCAAATGAATAAATAGTAATTGTGGTTGTTGGAATTTCCAAATAAACCGTTATGTTCAAATTTAGCTTTTCATTTTGATCTAAATTTTCAGTTAGCAACTTGGATGCTTCTATTTTGCGCCCTCTTTTTTTTCTCAATATTAATTGGCTTGGCATGCTATTGCACTCGGAAGGAAGTTGACGATGAAGATTTATAACTTCTTTTCTACTACCTAATTAAGGCTTCAAAATATTTTTTAAATTAGAATCATATTTTTCAGACAATAAATGATGAATAGTTTAAAATGTTATAAAATAAGTGTAAGTATTTTTGAATAGCACATATTATTGCTGATTAAGATTGATAATTAAGATAGAGTGATATCATATTGAATAGTCCGAATCAATATCATCGGATAATTCTTCACAAAAATCAGTTTTTAGAAATTTAGCTCATTTATATTACCATTATTGATTTTCCTTTATAATTCGACACACTTAGTAATGCTAATGGATAGATCTATTATTTTAAAGCGTTTAAATTAAAATAACAAAAACGTATTTTCCTAGTGTTAAGTGATTGCGAAAGAATGAAATACTTCTATTTGTATCGCACCTGTTTTCTCTTAATTAGCAATTCATTAGGATCACTTATAGCTATACTTAAAATAACCGATACACTCTGCAAAAAATGTCAATTTTTTTCATTTGATAAAATTTAAGTTTGCAAAAATATTTATATTGTATTGCAATATTTTCTTTCTATCTTTCAATTTATATCCATGGAATCTTCGTCCTTGTTGTCAGCTAAATAATTCCTATTTAGTTTAAAAAAATACTTTATAAGTTCATTTCTGGAAGTTTCTGCAATTGTCTCTTCTCACTTTGCAATCTTTTATTCTCACCTTTCTCTACTTTATTTATAATTTTCCATTTTGAAAACAAAGCAGTAAATGTTACATTATTTTTGCTCAAAGGCCAAATTTCATTGTTTTATCGCAAATTTTCTTTAGAGCTATTCAAAAGCCGGGTTTTTTCATTTCTTCTAATTTCTCAAAACTTTTCATAAAATATTCTTAATGTTCCATTTATCATTGACTAAGACTTTTAAACAATTAAATTGCGCACCTTACTTATTACTAATAATTTCGAATTTTAATTAAATATGTGATTTCTACTAAATAAAAATATGTGTGCATTACTTTTTCAAACAATTAAGTATTTCAATTTGAAGCTTTCAATTTATTCGTGTAATTTCATATTTTGATGACTTGAATTTTTTTTCAAAAACTCCTTCTATTAACTTCTGCTAATTAATTTTAATATTTTCCTTACATCATCCCTTGCAAAAATTATACCGCCACTGATGTAATGTGATCGTTGTCAAGAAAAATTTATTAAACAAAATAGGGAAATAATGATTGTTGAGATATGATCAATGAGAAAGGAATTTTCAAATTTAAAAAGGTACGCTTCTTAATTTATTAATTAAAATTTCGAAATTTAAACCATTAATTAAACAATATAATCTCATTACAATCATTTAGCACTCATTCATATTTCCTTTAAATTTATAATAAAAATAATTTTTAGAAGATTTAATAGCATTTCGTTTCGTAACAAAAAAATCATCAAATATGGTGAGAGAAAGTGATGAAAATCAGCCATAATCAGAAATAATAAAATTGAAATGTTTACTTCTTTTTAATTTATTTACAATTAACAAATTGTAAACAAATGATAATGAAAAATAATCACATTCTTTGAAAGCTATCAAAAATACTTTGAAATCAATACTGGAAATTGAAATATTGACAGCTATTAAATGTCATGAAATATATGGAACAACAAATGTTGTAGAAACGATCATAACTTTAAAGACTCAATTTTTACACTTTCGAGAAAAGACAAAAAAAAGTCATTTCAGATGAGAGTAAAATCAATCAAATGAATGCTTTGTTAATTATCAAATAATTATGACTTCAGTGATTGTGACAGTTTGGAACAAATATAAAAAGTTTAATAATACAAAGAATGGTTTTTAATTTTTAAGCATCCGATTGATATTTCAAATTATATTGAACTTAAATTTTCATTTTTTAATTAAGTTAAACCAGAACAAATTTTAATTTTTGCATTTCTTAAATTTAGGTAAATTTGAACTTTTGATAAATTGATTGATCAAAAAATTGGAATTGAAATCAATAAATTAATCTAATCTGATGAGTAATTTAAGCGTCAATATTTATTTTTTTAAAAGAAATTCCTTAAAACATTTCAATTTTTTTATCTTCAAAGTCATTTATTTTCAATATTAAATTTCAGCTCAGATCGCAGATCAAAAATAAATGGAAAATAAATTTTGACACACTTTTTGAGTAAATTTTTGCATATTTCATGAACTATTGAATTTGTTTTTAGATCACTGAGTGATTTCCTTTAACTAAACTATATTTATCACATGTTACTCTTTATTTCTGCAAATAGATTATCTTTTCTGCTATTCATAATAGATTTAAAATTATAACTTAAAAGTGATACTTCAAAATATCCCTTAAATTAAATCGTATTTTTTAAGCGTTAAATAATAAATAATTTAAAATATCATAAAATGAGTGTAATTAAGATTGATAATACTTGCAATGATTAGTCTGAAGTCAATTTTTTTGCTTTATCCTTTCGCTACTTCTTAGTCATACCTGTTATTTGCTGCTTAGAAAAACTACATGGAAATTGTATTTTAACTTGATTTTGGATTATAATAACTGTTAGCGCCATCACTTTAACTTTTCATTCGATAATTATTATCATTGAATTCATCAATAATTTATTGAGTCTTATTTTTTATCAGTTAGATGAATGTCTTGTTAATAATATGTCACTCTAATCTCATTAATAAAAAACATTTTTTTGTCGCAAAACACCTCAAAATAAATTTTTGATATTTGGAAGTTAGGCATTTCTTTACTTATAAATTTAAATTTAAAAATTAAATAGTTTAAGCAATACCTTAAGAATTTAAATGTTATCGATACAATGATATATGATATTAATCAATGAAATTTATATGAGTGAACGAACTGTAATCATCGAAATATGTGCCTTATTTCTTAGGCATCCCAATAAAAGTATTGTGCTCTTTCACTATTGATATGATATCAGGAAAAAATAATTGAAATGCATTTGAAGCAAAAACGAACTGTAATCACTGAGTGATATCGTTTTTTTATCGCTTGAATTCAGCTGTGTTATCAAAGATTGTTAGCTGCTTTTTTAGACTATTAAACATCTATGCATTGATTTTAATTAAAACATCACATTCCAGCTGGTTATTATTATCCGAACATCATTAGGACAAGTTAGAAATTTATAGCGATGTTTATTAATAAGCACCAAAACATTTATCATTTATCCATCATTACAAATCATTATTATTCTCGATGATTGAAACATAAATTTATTGAATTTTTTTTAAATTGAATATTTGGACCGGATTAGAATTCTGATCAAGCTGAAAATTTGAAACCTCAAGTTTTTGATATTTGTACATAGAACAAATAGAGTTATATTTGTTTAAATTGTTCGCTTATCAATTTTGCGCTTCACGACGTTACAGCTAAATTTGTGTTTAACAGCAACAATCCTGAAATACATTATCCGATATTAATTTACATTTTATGAATTAATTATGAAAGAGTAGTCCAAAAACAACTTAATCCATATCATTCAACATGAATTGATAAATTATGAAGTATAGTAAACTGATAGCAAATAATGAGTACATGGATATAATGTATTCAAATATAACCATAAATGGGTTCTGAAAGCTGAATGCATTAACAAATTGAATTTTCAAGAAAAAGACTATCGTTTTATTGGATTATTTATGGTATTTAAAATTTGAGTTAAAAATTAATTGGTGCAAAATTCAATATGCTAATGATTTCTTAAGTTCAGACTGTTTTGCGGGAAATGTTGGAAATAAATTCATATAGCAATGTACACGTGAGTGTTTTTCAAAATTTGAATTAATAAGTAATATGAATTTGGTTATCTAAAATGATACTGCGATTCGCGCATAAATGAATAATCTGAACGCTTTTGCAAAAAATGCTGAGAATGAATTCTGGGACTACCAAAAATTAGTTACGACATTTGATACTATACCTTAATTGTCTTCTTGATTGGTGCACCATCAGTAGTATATTTGCGGCGGCTCTTCTGAAACCATTGCTGAGCTTTACAAATCAATTGCATTTTTAAGGAAAAGAATGCTTTTAGATTGGATTACTTATGACATTTAAAATTTGAATTAAAAAATAATACGACGAATATGGCTAACTAAAATATTATTAATAATTCAGGCATAGATGAATGATCGAGATGATTTGTGAAAAATGTTAAAATAAATTCTAGGGCTACCAAAAATTAGACACATCAATTGATACTATACCTTATTTGTTTTCTTGATTGGTACACCATGTTTGCGGCTGCTCCTCTGAAACCACTATTGAGCTTTACAGATCAATTAGATTTTTAAAGAATCTTGGTATTTAAATTTTTAGGAAATAATCAGTGTGTAATCCGATAGGAATATCATTTTATAAGTTAAGACGGTTTTCTAAAAAATGTCCGGAAATAAATTAATGCAGCGACTTACCGGTGAGCGTTTTCCACGTATCAAATTTCCTCCTCCCAAAAGTTCCATAATTTCTCGCTTTTTACGACCACCGCATCCTTCACCACCTCCACTTCCCCCACCACAACCACAACCACAACCACAACTACCGCAGCCGCAGCATGACTGACAGCACTGTTGACAACATGTTTTGCAGCACCTGAAAGAGAGCTTCCTTCGGATTATTTCACTCAGAATTTTTGATATAACAGAAGTTAATATGGAGATCTTAGCAAAAATTCGGTACATTAGAATAATAAGAAAGTATCAAAGTGCGGATTTGTCCCAGAAGCTTCAGCAGACCGAGAGGACACTGTTGGCTGCTTGAATTCGCCAAATTTGCATGTTCATTCTGGAATGGTTGTGCAGCCTTGATTTGATCAGTGTGGATTAGTAGAATGATTAGATCAGAAAAATCTTGAAGTTAATTTTACATCTTTTAATGCTTTTTGCTTGTAAAAAAGAAAGAAAACAAACGTTGTAGTGCAAGTAGTACATGTAGTGGTGGTGCTACAACATGACTTCTGGCAGCAACTACATCCACCCCCGCATCCGCAGCCGCAACCACAACCACAACCACCTCCACAACCACCTCCACAACTCCGCCTCATTCGTCCAATTCCATCTGCACTATGCTCCAATTCATGTTTTGATTTTGAATCAGAAGTTGGAATCAGAGAATCATAATGAAGTTCAGGTTCTGCATCCGCTAATCTAACAGCATCGTCTAGAACAGTCACAATTTCGTCGCTGATTTCTGCAGTTGGAGCAGGTTTATGATTATCCCTAGATCTTGTCGCACTTGTTGCTTTAGCTTTTGTTGGATAGATATTAATGAAAATACTTAAGAATAGAATGAGTACAAAGCGACCCTGCATTCTGGACAGCATAATTGTACTTTTATCAGTTTGATTTTCTGAAAATGCAACAATCAAATAAATTTTTAAATAAAATTACTACGAAAGAAAAAAAATGAAAAATGAGGAAATTAAGTAGTAAATCTGAAAAGTCGAAAGGATAAAAGTTGTCGTTAGCTTGAGTGACTTTAACTGTTTTTGTTGGTTCCTTTTATATAGAGTGCTCTAATTACTCATTTCATGCTTTTACCGCTGCCAATTTTAATGTGTTTTGGCAAAATAAGCCAGTCTGAAATGTTGCATTTTGCCTTTTTAATTATCTACACTTAGGGCGCAAGATGGATGGCGTTAATGATAACATCAACATAGAAAGATCTGGATTTGGTATCCACTGTTGTTATTGTTGTTGTTGTTGTTGTTGTTAACGTTTCAATCTATTGTTTGTCACTTTTGTTATGGCTATTATTTATTTATTTATTTTGCAATGAGATAAACAGATGAAGATGTTAAAGGAGATGTTGATCGTTTGAAAAGAGGAACAAACAAGTTCATGAAATTAAGTTATACAATAGCAAGACAAAAATCCATTAACTAAAATTTTCATTCTCCATTCAGTCTTTTAATGTATGAATATTAATGATGATGGATGATAATAAATACCTTCATATGTAATATCCTGTTTCTTTTCAATTAAAATTAATTAAAATTTGAATAGGAAAATATTAGAAATGTTGCAAATCAGAGCTTTAAGAAAGAGTTATTATCTTGTAATTTCTTTTTAAAATGTTGTTAAAAAAAGTAAAATATCTGCAATCTTTTCAAATATCATTAAATCACATATTTTCAAAAGATAAGAATTAATTACTTCAAGTTGAAATAGAAAATAGAAATTATTTTTTATTTCAAGTTGAAATTAAACAGAATAATTTGAATGAATGAAGTATTAACATATATCAAGCAATTTCTAAAGAAAAACTATCAGTATAAATATTGCTATAAGTATGATTATTAATTTAAAACTTAATTGATAAGGATTAATGTTGATATTCCACTTTTTTGATCTATTCATATAACTTTAAGACCGAATATGTTTTTATTCAAAATCCTAGGCCTAAAATTTAAATTACTAAATTAAATTCGTTTGTTGCATGATTTGCTTGCACTATTATACACAAATTAGATTTGCATTAATGAAATTGGCTTAAATTTAATTTAAATCTCATCGGGTAAATAGCCATTTCTTAGCTAAAATAAATGAATGGTCGGTAAAAGATCTAAAGGAATGAATGGTCGGTAAAAGATCTAAAAGATAAAAGGCCTATATAAAAGGACAACAAAAGTTTTCACAAAAACTTCTAAATCAAAAAATATCAAATTTTTAATGAATTTCACAAAAAATATTATACATCAGCAATTTGCTTTCAAAAAACAAATTTACTCACATAAGCAATGTATATGAATCGGTGAAAATTTAAATATAAACAATGTTTACTTTAAGTTAAAGATACTTCTTCAGAAGGTGTCATTGTAAAGGCTCATTTGATTAAAAAATCCATCCAACTTTTGCTTCCTCTTTTTCAAAATAATAAATTATAAATTAAAACTTAATATTACTTCAAAGATAAGCCGCTTAGTTCAATTTGAAGGATTAAAAGATCATACAATGAAAGTTTATTTAACTATTATCACTGTATCAGCATCTTTCGTACCAACTTGCTGATGAATTAAGGCTGTTCATGCGCTATTTAATTTGCCTTGACCTTTATTGCAGTTTGCTAACATTTGAGGAATATTTTACTCTTCAGAAAATTAATTGTATTGAATTATATTAACAAAAGGCACGAAATAGCATATGGAAAAACATTTTAAGAAAGGTGCAGAAAGGCAGCGTTATGAATTGCGTAATTATCATATCATGAGCATTTGAATACATTCATCATCTTCGATTTCATTATCAGATAATTAGCAATTATCATTAGAAGACAATGTTAGCAGGAGAGTACTTGTGAAATTCAAATTCTATTAGTACAATAGATATGAATTTATATTTGTCACTTCAAACTGGCAGAACTAAAAATTCATGACAGCAACTAATTCATTTCAAATTATAGCAAAGTTATTTTCTAATTTTCATCGAAGTTTTTGAAAGTTTTGAAGTATGTTTCACTGATAGTTGCAGGAAGATAAATTTTTAATAAATCTAAATTAATTCCAAAAGAGCGCTACGAATATTTCCTTTCGTATTTTGCATATAGTTCCATCTTTCGAGATCGTGAAGAGCACGACGACGTCTTGATAATGATCCGTGAATTATTTCTATTCCATTAATTGATCGCTTTTTCTTTTTACCGCAACAGCAACAGCTTAAAGTATTGACATTACTTAATTGATAAAATTTTATTAAATAGGCTTCAAATGTTTACTATTTGCTTATTAGTACTTTTATGTGAAATATAATTAGAAAGCTAGAATGATTACATATTTTCAAGACATTTAAGATTATGATTTTCATACTGGCAATAACTTGTTAATTCTTAACTATTACATTGTGATGTTAGTAAAATATTAAGCCTAGATTTAATAGTATGTATATGACAATGATAACAATAATAATCATTTATTATATTAAATTTTAGTTTTATAAATTCAGAAATTGTAGTATTCAATAAAATACATTATATTAAATTGATTTCTCAAGCTACTATCATAAAATTTGATAAAAATCAAATGAAAACATGCCAGCAACAACAACAGCAACAGCAACCGCAACAATTACGTTTGGAACGCGCCAAAGCAGTGATGTTACTGATACTAATATCATCCACATTTGCATCACCGGAAATCAGACCAATTTCTCTTTTTGCATAAAATTCATTATCCATTATAAATGGATCATAGTCTTTATTCATCGGAATAGCATAGCAAATTGATATTGCTAAAAGAAGTACGAGAAGCAATTGTCGATAGCGCCACGGAAGTTTACCGATGCCTAATGATATCATCTTTTTTAATTAGTAATTCCTGAAAATAAATATGCAATAATAACTGATAATAAAATTCTTTCAAATAAGAATTTTTCATCATTATGAAATAAATTATCGTTATGCATAATGAATTAAGTTTTTAAAGGAAAAAACAAAGAAAAAATTAGTTGAAAGGAAAATAAGGAATGAAGTAAACAAATTTCAAAATTTTCTAGTAAAATTTTTGCATAAAAATTTTACTAGAAATTATTTATAGTATAATAATTTATAACAGCAACTCGTTCTCTCAACCCGTTCTTTATCTTTATTTCTTATTTTCAACGCTTTTCCGTTCATGCATGATATTTTCTTTTTTCATAACATTTCGCAATCCTATTTACTGATTGATTTTCCGAATGTTTGATATACATGAAAACATTCAGACAAGCCTCAAAACATTTTGTGCTTGAAAAGCAGAATGCTGTTTTATTAATATTTTCATTAAATTAAATTTCTCCTATCATTACACGCTGTTATCATAAATGTTGTTTATTTAGTATCAATTTAAAAATTCTCACTCTCTTAATATTCTGTGTAAAAATATTTCCATAAAGAAAATTGTTTTAATATGTGAAAAGTAACATTTAATTTAAAAATGAGAAAATAAAGTGCAGTTGATTCTATTGGCAACTTTATTACCTGTAAGTTTTTTTGTATAACTTAATTGAAATAATTCAATTAAATTTTCTTCTAACAATTTTAACTAGTTAGTTGAAAAAAAATATAGATAATCGTATATTATTAGTTCACGTAGTTTTAAAATAAATGCAAACCTTTTTCTATGGTATTCTGTAATACCGTAGAGATCTTATCGCTTTTATGTTTTGCATATTCTTTATTTTTATACCAATTATATTCTGAATGTTGAATATGCAAAATTGATCGCTCGTAACTTCTGTAATAATTGAGTTTGCTGCAATTGATATACTTAAAATATCATTTTTTTAATTTAGACTTCATTTGCCATTTTATTTTGGAAATCTTTGAAAAGTTTTAGATTACATTCATAGAACTTTTGTTGTTTTAAAATCCATGGTTGTAACAATTGCTATTTTACAATGTATTTCCTGATTATAATTATGAAACTTTTCCCATCAAATTTCTTTATCGGGATCTTTTTCCCTATAGTCAGAATGAAGCCAAAACAGATCAGTGTCAATAATATATATATAGTCATGATACATATTCCGGAACGAGTAAGTGGGAATTAAGTTGTAGATTACTATGTATCACAAATTAATGATAATAATAGTGTAAATGTTAAGGTAGAGAAGCGAAGTTGTAAACTCTTCCTTATAAGACATGCTGGAATGGAAGCCGAATTAAGTAAGTTCATATTAAATAATCAAACAGAATTGCAGTAGATGTTGTAAAAGAATTGCAATAGATCTGGTTTGTTAGTTAAATTACATGTAAATGTGAAGGAACAGGTAAGGCACTTATTATGGCAGCGATGAAAATTGAGAATATTACATGCGCCGAAATGGTAATAAAAAAGTATTCCGTTCAATAAGGGAAAAATATATAAGTTGGTTTTAAGGATATTGAGCAATATAATTGCAAAAAAATAAATACTCTAGAGCGATTCATTCGTTCAATAATGGAAAGATGTTGTAAATTAATCCAATATTTAATCATGCGACAAAAACGCATGAAAATTATTTGCATAGCAATTTAAGTCAGAACAAGTAATTTATAAATATAAAGAATTGATTCACATTATCCTTGTACAAGCACTTGGTTTTGAAGTTGCGCGATAAATATCGTCATTTCAGTGTTTGACACAAAAATTCAGCTTTTACTGTGTAGCCGTTTGATATATTCGTTTTAGGTTAATTTTTTTGAATCACAGTGTCGTTTAAGGTTAAATTTTGTGGATACAGTGTCGAAATAGCAATATGATATCAATGTTGAAGGAATACTGCAATATAAAAGGAAATAAAGCAAAATGTAAATGAAAATAATCTTATCACATATTTATTACACTACGATATTTGAAATTATTAGTTGACATATTTTCAGAAATTCATTGCAATAAGATGATGCAATGAAGTTGGTGGCATGCATTAATGAAATGAAAATTAAATCGATCAAAATTCGTTTATATTTTATTTAAATGCATGCATTACAATACTTATGTATTTGGAAAAGAACGGAAAGGATGATTCAGAAATTTGATTTGATTAATTTGAAAATGGAAAAAAATCATTAACCTTCATTTTAAACCTATTTTTGATAAATATATTCATGTTTAACTATTCTAATATGAAATTTTAAGTGGACACTTTCACATGTGAATGGACATTTTTCCATTAAGTTTCTAAGCTATTAGCCATATAAGTTATTGTTACCTAATGTAATGATGTTATTTAAAGTAACTTTGATATTCATTTAATAACTTCCGCAAACATATGATATAGCATACAGGAAATTTTAGCTGTAGAAGAATGCTGAAGTGTGCTTATAGATCGAAAGAGCAAAAATGAATGAAATCAACATTTCCACGTGTTATTTCTTTTGCATATTTCAAGCATCATTGAAGATATCGTGAATTGACCACAAATGCGGAAGTGATTAAATTCAAGAAATGATCTGTCTCTTGAGATGATATCATAATTCCAAATTCAAAATATATTCCACCATTTCTCTTTTGACAATACACTCTTAAGAGTAATTATTATTACTATTCACGTATAATGTTCGATTGGGATTAGTTGATTTTCTATGCTTAATTTAAATTCGATACAATTCCCCTTATTCGAAATACAAATCCTCTAGACAAATAAAATTTCCTTAGAATTGTTTGGGAAAGGTATAATTGGAAACACATGCAATGCATAAGTTCACTTCAAAGTTTTTGTGCTAGCAAGAGGAAACTCTGCTGTAAGAAAGCACCGTGATTAATTTGCTGCGATTGATATCATTAAAATGGGATTGGTGATCAAAATCGATTTAATCACAGTCAATTTTATGCCTGGACAATCATAATCTTATGACAATATAGTTTTTGAATTTCCTTTTATTATAACAACAATTAAAAAACCCAAGGAATTCTGCAAACACATCGACTTCTCAAATAAAATGGAAATGATAACAATGAACACATAAAATTTCGTGTACCTTTGCAAAAAGTAACATAAGCTTCATTTCTCATTTTTTTTACGAGCAAACGAGTGATATTATAGGCTATAAAACTTTTCACAATTTCGCATTACTGTCAGCATATATTTTTTGCTTTATAAAATAAAAATTTATTGACAAATTAATTGCCCGGACTGGAATGTCCTGCAGGAAAAATGTATCCAATGTAACTTGGAAACTGTTCCATCGAAATATTGTTACTCAAGCCAGTAAAAACTTGCACTTCATCGTAATTAGCAATTACATTTAAAATGGAAGTTGCAAAAAAGAATGCAAGACGTGCAAGAGGAATAGAAAGATCTACACACTTAAATATTTAAGTGTGTAGATCTTTCTGGCCCACACTTAAATATTGTCTCCAAGACAAGAATCTTTTTCATTTATAAATTTGCACATCTAAGCTTTTAAATCGAAAAAAGTAACAAAAAATTTTAGTACCAGCATATGCCACATTTTTCAAATAAATGACGGGGAAAATTGGAACATACTTTTTCCACTATGTATCAATATAACAGCAAAAAGCAGTTCAAAGCATTTAAAAAAAAAGAGGGCTAACTACTGATAGTTAAAAACTATGAAATAAATGTTGATATTATACAAATACTGTAGCCAATAAAATACAATAAATAGCCGTATCACTAAATAAGAAAAGTACAAATTTGAAAAGTAAAAATATTCCAAACATGTTGAAACTGCTCGATGTTTGCAGAACTAATACACTCTTTCATTGAAATTTCTTGAAATATTTTACCATTCATTAAGCCAATTTTAGCAATAGTATTTTCTCTTAACCAATACTTCCTGTAAATGAATTCGATATTATTCTAAGATAAAATATAATGATAACTTTTGACACCAAAAAAAATTAAAGCACAGATTTTAGAAGTTTCAAACAAGCAATTAGACAAAACTTGCAAGGGTCACATGTCAAACATGCTTTCAGATTTTCTCTAACGTATGAAATACTTTAATTCCAACAAATGTTTCAATACCAATTCAATTAGTCTTTTTGCAAACATCATTCACAGGCTCACACGCATAATTAATATCTTAGTTTCTTTACTAACCTCGCCATTCGGTAACGGAAAAATGAGTATTTCTGCACTACAACAATCTCTTACAATTTCTCCCCACGTTCTCCGGTAATTCTCATCATCTTCTGGCTTTATTGGAGCGCCATATATCGAACCAACAATTTGTGGCAGTGCTGAAAGCTGAAACACAGACAATCACGTAAAGGATTTTTTTCTTTTCCACATCTTGAACATCCACACAATATTTGATAATTTTAGCATTCCAAACATTTAACCAGCGGCGCTATGGTCTGTTAAAAAAAAATTACGAAATAAAAAAGTTTATAACGATGAAAAATAATGCACATAATTTTTATCAAAATTTTACGTAGCAAAGCATAAACTATTTTACTAAAAATCACTGTAAATCCTACAATTTCGAAGAAACCAAGTTTGACCGATGTAAATATTCTCTCATTCAAAGATATAATGATAAATTATAAGATTATAAAAATTCCAACCAAAACTGGATTTGGCGATCGTATATCCACTATTAATTCTATCACTTCCGCTAATTTTTCCAATCGGGTTTTTTTCTGCAAAGTATCTGAACTTGAAAACTTACAATAGTTTTAAAAAAATTTGACTGAAACGAAATGACCGTTTCATATTTTGGTATTATAATGAAGTACTTTAAGACACTAAACTACTTAAGTAATTTGATCTAAAATTTTTAAAATTCCATTTGTAGATTTTCCATATGAATATTTGTAGGCCATAAATAGTTGGATTATTCTAAATTTAAAATTTAGTCTTGAAAACTTCAAACACCTCTACATTAATGTGAATGAAAACGTTATACTGTCAAACTCCCCTAACTAAATATCTGCAAGCTACAAACTGAAATAATGATTACCGTCTTATGACATCCCAATTCATCAAATACGGTTTCCAGCCAATTATCGTTAGTTTGTGTTCCTTCTGACAACTATAACAAATATATTGATTAAGCTGTTAATTATCAGGTTACACCAACAAGATTTAAGAACAGATTTAAAATGAAAAGGATAAAGCTAAATATAAACATTTGGGAAGCCATTCGGATAAGGTAGAGAATGAAATGGCGAAAGAAACCAAAAAATCAAGCAGTTTGTTGATTTATAGCTAAACTTCTATTAACAAATGAACCTGCAAAACTTCTTTATTGGAAGAATAAGGGAAAAACTCGACAGAAGTAGCATAATCGTCTGGATAACCTTGACCACGTCTAAAACAAATTTTTTTTAAACATATTAACAGAGTAGGGCACTCAAATATCATATTTCAATCCACTAGTCAAAACTTGCCGCGAAATACATTTTTTGCTAAATTTGTATTCCAACCATTATATGAAAACATACTTCTGAAATCGATTCGGCTGGCAGGGTTGCGTATATTGCATAGTTGTTACCCAACCGCTGTTATCAGAATAACCTGTTATTACAATTAAAACTTTTGAAACTTCAAATCTCAATGAAAATTAAAGCAAAAGTGCGACACCAGTATTCTCACACTTATTTTTATAAAGTTAAATCTAGACTCGTAAAAAGCACAGCAATAGAAATGATTCGTAATATTCATCCAAGTGATCAAACACACCATCAAATTGCAAAATAGCTTTTAAAATCTTTTTTTCAGACCCACGTGAAATACTCGTGAGACCTCATCATTCCGCAGATCTATCTAATTCTTACTAAAACTTGCACGAATCAAAGCGTATTTATCATTTTTTCGGTACAGATTTAAAAAACGAAAATCAAATAATGGAGTAACCCATGAAAAAGACAAAAGTACTGCGGAAAACTCAATTGGTGAAGACTTTTGAAACTTCTCACTTGGCTTGCAGTAACTGCTAGTGTTTTCTTCTGTTGAAATATTACAAGACATTGCTGAATTTGATGCGGTGGGCTCTGCAAGTTGTTTAAAACTTACTTCTACTAGTGTACTTCGTAAGTTTAACAACTGCAATCCATCAGTATTTGATTTACCTCCTACCACTATCACAAACAGAACTTTTATTTCGAAAAAAGGCTACAGTATAAAATAAAATGAATGTTTACCATCATTAACTTTATTACATGGTTATTGCTAACATTAAACAAATCATATGTTTAAACTATTTTTGCCTTTAAAATTGCACACCTTCAATCAAGATAAGGAACAAATTTAAATTAGGCAATACCGAAAAATGCCAACCAAAATCGCCTAATCACAAACTAATCACAGTTAAATTAAACTGCAGTCCTATCTTAAATTTCTATGAAATCTCGCTCTCACCTTGACGTGAACTGCATTGACCAGCAACAGAATTAGGAACGCTGTATGAACCATACGGTAGTTTATTCATTTCCTGCAAAATATATCAATTTTTTAAATTACAGAATACCCATACACTCTAATAATATTTCTATCCATTATGAAGGACAAGTTATGCCAGCAAAAATCACCAAAAGTTTAATAAAGTTACATCATATCTGACTACGAGATATTATGTTCTCCACTATGGCTAAATGTCGGCCAAACCTAAAAAAGTTCGGTTGGCAAAACAAAAAAACTAAACAAATTCTACTTATGTGTCAAAACCAAGTAATAGCAATATCATAAATGTACCGTAATCTCCAAATCCCGAATCAGTTTGATAAAGTGAAGGAAGAGAAACGTGATTTTTAAAGGGATAAGATTACTAAAATATGAAAAGATACACGTACTCGATATAAACCCGATGAAAAAAAACGATTATTTCTCATGATGAATGAACAAAGTACAGACAAAGATAGCTACAGATGCGAAGTTCTACAGCTGTTTTGCATCACTGAAATTATACGTACTGTTATGCACTGAACATGTTCTGAACGTTGTTTTCTCACGAACTGCGTGCAATTATAATGATACGTATGCATGATGTCGAAAACTTTTCCCTCCTTACACGGCATGGAAATTTTGTTAACTCGTGAATAAAATTTACATAGCCTACGAAACCTATATTGTTCGGCATGCACGTTGATTATGTACTCAGTTTATTTCTCCATCTGCACATCATACTCGCCAGTACCATGTGGATTTCGTCCGAAAAACTTATCAGAAAATGTCTTTGAAATCCTCCCCATCAAAAATAATATGGTCCAAATAGAAAATTATGTCACACGCTTAAAAAAATGACAAATTAAAATGTCAACTACATTTCAATCAATAGTATTTATTTGTCATTTTCAAACTTTATACATTTCCATTCACAAAATATCCAAGTCTCACATCATTGTATTGCGGAAAATTTCCGGAAATTTGAGACTTGACTTCTTCCCCTGTGAAAGTCAATCTTCATGAATAACGTAGAATGGAGGAGAATACCCCAACGACCTATCCTTAACACCATTTATATTAAAATGCGCACGTACACAAGCAAATCTCCCCCGCTCTATTACCTCCTCATTCACTTAGAAATGTATGATTCATTTGGAAACAAGCAGCGCAATATCGTAACAAGTCAGACCCGGACGACTTGGAGGAATATAGCTTCTTCTCGCTAGCAGTTCTTGAATGTCCCGTAAGTTCATATTTCGTGAATGGAAATTAGTAGAAACGGCGGTGGTGTTGCAATTCTGATATGCCAGTTAATATTGGACCATCGAATCGTTAGTGCAAAAATGACTACCAAAAATTATGATACGTGAATTCCTCTTGAGACTTGCGAAAGGTTACGGTAAAAACTTAGAAACCAAAATCAACGATAATAATATATGAAATATTACTACTTGCAGAGGATCAAATGGAAGATTGTAATTTTAATGACCAGCTTTTCTGGAGCTCAAAAACTCATAAATCTCAATTTCACATCCCGATACAAGATCTTATAAATTGAAATTGAAACACTCCAGATTTTAACACCACCTTACAGCCTTTTACATATTGCAATTCTATTGTATTTCTCGATGTTGCCCGTCCAAACTCCAAATATTGCTTACAGCACAATGTTCTAGTGTTTTTAGAACTTACGCCGAATACGGCTGGGGATCTTACCTTTAAGGCTGTGAGACAAAAATACAATCCTTTTCCTTATTCCTCCCTCATCTTGCGTTTAACAAAAGGTATAGAGAAAAATAAAGCAGTTCACCTCTTCTTTGTTGCTCAAATCAACCATAACAAGATCACGCTGAACAATGTCACGACTCTTATATGTTTGTGTTACGTGATATTCCTGTTTATTAAATACAGCCGATTGAGTAGATTTGTGCATCTGAAGCATAAAAGTTTCATCCTATCATATCTAAATAAACAGCAACTCAGCAATTCCGATTGCAGTGATAATTTGAACATGCAGTACGTTGCAGAAATCGGTGAGTGCAATAATAGTTGCATGTAAGGAAGCTATTTGGTAACAAAATCTAGCCTATATTACTGCAGCAAATACTAAGCGAAATCCATTCAGATGTGCCTTTTTAGCAAGTGATCCTTCAAGCTGGTGATAAAAACTAATCGTGAAGAATAGTTTAAATGATAAAAAACGATATGCAAGTGATTCTCTCTTGCTCGTTACTAAAAAATAATGGTATGACTGACCAGAATCAGTTCTGCAGAACTTCTATTGTTAAAAGCAATAGATGATGATGGGTAAAGATCTCGTGAACAGGAATGATTGAGTGACTGCTGCAAGGAACGTTCGGCAACAGACAAACGTTTTCCCGACTGCTGGAAAACCAAGAACGAATTTCAAGAAAGATATGTTTTATCGAAAAAAAACCGAAACTAGTTCTTGATCTTCAGTTCAGAAAGTGAAACCATAAATGAACAGAATTCATAAGAAATTCTCGCATGATACACTAAACTTCATTTATATTAAACAGGTAAGTCAAACAGATGTTAGCACTTAGAAAATTAAAGAAAAATATCAACGAATGCGCAATGAAAAAAAAACATATGAACGTAATTGCCATTTTTAACAAGAAGTGAAAAGAAAATAAGATCATTAAAATAGCGCACGTGGAATAGTATGAGAGATCAATTCCATAAGCTCTTAAAAAGAAACTTGTTGGGAAAGCTGTTTCATCTCCAGAAAAGTTCTTTCAGCTCTTGAACACAATAGATGGCCAATTATGAAATTTCATTTATTCGGCTTAATTTCCACCATGTTGTAGATTAACATGTTTTTATGAAAAATAATACTAATTTTGTTTTCTCCGCCATTCATCAATTACGCAGACTGTTCAACACGATTAGAATCTTTTCCCTTAGTGGTTTAAGCGGTTCTCAAATCAACTTACATGTGTTATTTGCATTAAAAGAAACGTGAAACTATAGACTACTACGCAAATCAACGAAATTTATTTATTGGTTCTTACATTCCATTAATGTTACAACATATAATTATTCTTTTCTGCTATTAAAGTTATCTAAAATAAGTGGAATGTGAAAAAAAAAACTATAACAGCAGAATCCTGCACAAGTTATTTGTGTAGTTGCCTCGAAATCAATTTTGATAACCATTAAAAGAGATTTAATGGACAAACGAATGTCTTATGAAACATTCAAAAACTTCTCACCTCTGAAGATTTTGAGGAAATGTTTAATGTATTCACATTCCCTTTGAATTTCTTTCCTCGATATTTTTTAGAAACTTTTGCTTCCGAATCACTACTATCGGCAGACTCTTCATCATCTGTATATTTATCCTCAGTCAAAGTGGTTGATTTCTGCAAAAAGCTTTTAATTTTAGTCGCAACTTTTCATCTTATTACTACTATTAATTAAGTAAATGAGCCTCTAAAATTATGATCCAAAAGCTACTCATAATATAAAATCTCGAGAACACATGCAAATAGGAGTAACACTACGGCTGATATCGAAGCACGAAAGACTTATTTATTAAACAGAAAAAATAGTAAGCCACTTATTGGATAGCCGAGGCAACAATAGCGCAGCAAGGCGATAATGTAAAACCAAAAAAATAACCATAATTATACCGAATAAACTAAAAAGCATCACGGTAATGACATGTGAAAAAGCTTCTGCACACTTCTCCTGACCAACAGAAACTTATTTGCAACAAAAATTCCGAGTTGAAAAACCTACCCATTGTCTTCTATACGTTTTATCATGACCACTTCCTTGCATGCCTATCATTTTATCCGTGTCAGCTGGCATGTCCGGATTGGAAGGCGCCATGCCGTCGTTAATCATGTTAGCATTCTCAATATCACCTCCATGCTGCTTTTTATTGCTTGATTGCCCGTCTTCATCCTCCACTTCTTCACCCCAATCCATTGTAGGTTTCTGAAATGTGAACTACAAAACTGATAGTTGTGTATACATGATGCATGATACCATCCACATCTCAACTTAGCAAGCGATTAATTAAACTGCTTGCATTTTTCTAACCAATTATGTGAAGAGAAAATAAATACATGATAGCAACAGAATCTTAAATCATCAGTTATTATTAGCGGGCGCTTTTTTAAAATTTATTTCCACCATAAAAAGGGAGCATTTGTCTCGCTCATATTTAATTGAGAACTTTCGCTTGCTTTAAATAAAATGAAAAAATAAGAGACAGAATTAAGAGCTTATAAAAAACCAATAGGGTGCTTTAATCCGATATTTCAGCTTATGCGGCTATTAAAAATTTTTGGCTGTGGAGGATAAAAAAGAGAAGTTTTACAAATCTCGCAACTTTTAATTTGATACGAACTTTTTCAATAACGAAAATATTTTGAACGGTTTTTTAAGCTCAAATTTTGAATTCATTTTTTATTTCGTTTATTAACGAGTTACAAATGCATCTTCAACTAACAATCCAAAAAAATCCACACAAAAAAACAATAACAACTCCTCCTTTGGTTGGAATAGTTAGGTTTTAATTTCTTTCTGCAAGAAAATATATCACAAAATCAGTTTAAGAACTAGATAACCGCTTACAAGAGAAAAACTTCAAATGTTTGTATCTCATGTGACCCAATACTGCTCGTGATACTCTTTATAATAATTTTCCTTTTCGAAACAGAAATTCTAGTTGATGCACCATAAAAACAAGAAAAAATATATTAAAAAATTCATCAACAAAAGTTGGAAATGCTGATAACAAACTGCTTTGAAGCAAATAATGGCTATAAGTTACTACCTTTAGGACGCTTTCGCCAGAGGCGACAACACCTTCCGAGTGTTCTACTGTTCCTGAAAAAGAATACTTTTCATAAATTCTTTAGCGGAAGTTCTGTATAATTCCACTGCATATCAAGCCGATTTGGAAGAAACGCATGGAAGAAAAACAAGATTGAAAAACACCATGTAAATTTCGACATGAAACTATACTACAATGAAAAAATCTATAAAAATATCGTAGCTTTCAAATTTAAATAAATATATTTAATGGATTTTAATGCGAAATTATTTTATTTCTTACTTCGCAAAAATTAAAAACGCTCAATATCCATTCTTTCTGATGGAACTTAAAACACCGCATTCTCGGCTTATTTAAATTCACCGAGTATGCTTCATAGTTTCGCAGTGTTTAAATTAAAAAAAAGCCACCACTTCATTAGCACATTAGAAAAGTTGACAAAGAAAAAATGAAAAAACAAACTAACTTACTTCCTTCGTGTATAAAATTCAATAGGGATGGTCGATATTCTAAAGCAAATGTTGGAAGTTCAATTTTATCGATATTCGCTAACAGACGAAGATCTTCTGTTATTTCCTCGGGGACTAAAAACGTGAACGTCAATTTCAATTGAAAACCTCGTAAAGCCAAAATATAATAATTAAGCGTCAATAATGTATAAGGCAAAAAAGATTTAACTAGATTTAACCGATTTAACTTCGAAATGATTTTCTCAGTGTCATTAGTAGAAAATGGAATCTTGTGCACCCTTTCCGATAATTAAAAGCTAAGAAGCTAAGCAAAAACTAATCGACGAATTAGGTGAACAAGTACAAGAAATCACTCATGAACAGTGATTCACCGGAAATGCACTGAAAAAGGCAGTACTTTTTACATCCGGGCTCCTGAGTCTTACTCGGATGGGAGAGCCATTGATTAAAATAACTTCCCGATAAAAAGCGCGCCAAAAGTTTTTCAACGCCGATTTATTCATGAATAACCGTTGATGCTCCTGAAATGAGATTTATTCAAGACTAGTGCCCGGAAACTGCTGAAAGTCAATAATTAAAAATTAAAATGAAATAAGTAAATAGAACAAGATGGGTTTAAAAAGTATACCGAAGCATTCAAACTAATGTTATAACGCTTCATGTATTCGTCCCGGATAGTTTGATAATCAATTTCCATCTCGTAGGCTTTTAAATCCAGCAAAATCTCCAGAATTCGACGTTTTCCCTAAATGTAATATATTAAAAATGTAAATTTGATACAGTATTTGCTTAAAGAAAAAATTCATGAAAAAATTTTAGAATTTCATTCATTTGATCAAATGCCAACGTCGTCGTAAAAGAAAATCACCTTGGTACTTTTAACAACAGATTATTCAGAAAAATAACATCAAATGAAGTTTAATACACTGTTGTTCATCAGGAAAAAAAATCAGACATCACAAAAAGAGGACTGTTGGAAAATTATATAAGAAAAAAAATCAAACTTATAAGCTTTTCAAAACTGCAAATGTATAACCTCCAGAAAATTCTGTTCATTTTCTGGATTTTTTAGCTCCAACAATCTTTGTTTTCTTCGTTTTTCAGCTCTGAAAATTTCAAACCTCAAATTCAGCAATCACTATTCATGTAACTAATTCCTATTCACTTATTTATTATGAAGAACCTCTCACACATTATCTGTTTTTTTTGTGACTTGTGAAGCATTACCACCGAATGCCAAAAAGCACATCATATTTGCAAAGCTAAAGCTTTACTGGAGTCTACTTTTCAACAAGATGGCACTAAACCAGAACATGTCAAGATGAATTTCTTTTCGAAACAGCAAAAATTCACTTTTGATCTTCGTTTAATCTGCAATCGGCAACTCTTCGAAGAATATGCTCATTGGCTGGTTTAGAGACTGCCCCGTAGATGGCAATACCATTATTTAGTGACGTCTGTTCTACGTAATCCCTCATGTATTTCGATTTGAGTAGTTCATCAAGATCAGGGAAACCGAGTTCAATTGCCTGCTTCTCCAACAAAATCATCCAATCATTACTACAATTTAAAACAGGAGTGAGAAATTGCACAATATAAGATCCCGATCACGCAAGATTAATTAGTTCTGCATCAAAAAAGCATAAAAATAAGGCAAATATAAAGATAGTACACATTAAATGAAGCTATGTATATTTAGTGACCTTTAAACTTGAAACCATTCTTTATATTCTACACTAAACGACTTTTATTCACTAGAATACTTCCCGAAATGTGATTTGTAAATAGTTCGGGAATGGAATACATCGATTTCTAACCTTCCATCTGCAATAAAATTAGAGGCGACAGTGAAGAAGCCAACTAAAAAAAATAATTACTTACAAGAAATGAGCGTTTAACCGCGCAGCATTAGCACCATTATAATCGCTAGCTAATGTAGAATTAAGCATCAACCCAAGTTCATGCAATTGGTCATCCATATCAAGCATTATATCGTCATCCAAATAATCGGTACTTCCATTAACAACAAATTGAACATTATCATCATAGACATCGTTTTCGTCTTCCCCGAAAAAAAAGTCTGCTGCATCAAAAAACTCATCCACATTTTCACTTTCTGAAAATATCACATATATATATATATATTTTCCAACAGAACTTGCATGTTCAAATATTATTGTTTTGTTATATGTATATTTCCCAACAAAATATTATTGTTTTATTATATGTATATTTTTCAACAAAACTTGCATGTTCAAATATTATTGTTTTGATTCCAACTTAAATTTCAACAATTTCACTTAGTAAAGAAACAAATTGAGTAGTAACGAAGTAGCAGTTGACATAATGCAAATTAACTTATCTGGATGAAATAATATCAATGTCACATTTCACAATCTTGTTCATCAATTTAAAATTAAATGGTGCCACTAAGAGATCTCACTTGAAATGAATGAATAAAGGAATGAAAAGCGTTTTCCTTAGGAAACAATTAATGCATAAAAATACGTTGTAATGATCGCGTCAAACATGTAAAATTAAAAATAGCGAATATTCATAAAAAGAAAGTAAACTATAAACAGTAATATTACCGTCACCCTTGACAGCTGCTCCGCTCGTCAGCGTTGAAGTCGTTTCAATCAACTGCATCAGATGATAAATCTTTCTTCGCATATGCATATCGTCTCCATTTTAACACAACTGAAAAATAATAAAATATAACTATTCCAATGTACGTCAATGTTTTCTTACCAAACGTAATTACTAGTTGATACTTAAGGAGTGTTGTCATCGTATAAAAGTGATCCTTTCTTAACACTATACATTTATACTATCTCCACATAATTTTTTAATATCATCCATTAAACGTTCACGTCACAAACTGGATCAATGCTATTTGCATCATGAATAGAAAGTGATGCTGGCCGTGAAATACCAACTCCGGAAAAACTGAGAGATAAGAGGAGAGCAGAGATGTGAGTTGGTCGTGTAATGCTGGTCGTTAGAAAGCCTTTCCTACATGGTAACATTTGGCATGGTAATTTTGCAACCACAGAATATTATGAATTATCTTGGCCTGATTCGTGTAGTCACATTAAAGAATCAATCAAGAAAAAATGTAACAAAAATTATAAAACAAAGTGAAGCATTGCTCTATCATTTATATCACTACATATCGCCCGAAACAGATGCATGCTTTACGTGAAAAAAAAAGAATATATGCATAAAAATGCAAATATTGATTTTGATAAAAGAATCTTTCATCAAATAGTACAAAAGTAGTCTTATAATTTACCGCAATCCATCACATAAGGGAACCACGGGGAAACCACGGAAACTATTTTTGCTTTATGATGCCATATGTTGACGAACATAACTTTATATAGTTCTTTTTGATGATTTTTTTCTCTTTTATAGATTAGAGAATTTTTGCATAACTTAAATATAAACGTTATTATGGATTTTTTGTATTTTCCATATAAATATTTCCAGTAGTTTTTATAAATGTTAAATTTTCGTTATGCTTCTTAGATTTATATTCAAAATGGCAAAAATAAAAATCAAATGTGATGTAAATGAACTGAAATTCTCCTTACATAGATCTGACCACAAAAAAATTTACTATATTAACTATTTCATACAAATATGAATAAATCACATTACTCATCGTCATATTTACGAGAAAATGGCAGTCTGAGTTACTTATTTAGAAATTTTGTAATTCGACAAAACTGAGTAAACAAATAATCTTTTTTGTGACAATTGCTATGGTAATTAACAAGAGTCTATTTAAAATGAAAAGAAGAACTATTATATATCAGTGCATTTATTTTGCATACTTGCTGGGAATCAGAACCGATAGCCTCAAATAATTCCTACAGTGATAACAAATTCTTAACTTGTGTCCTATATCAGACCTCAAGTAATCCTTACAATGATTACAGCAATAACGAATTTACAGCTTATGTCCTATACCCTATCAATACACCTGTTGTCTGATACCCTAATCCGTTACACTTATTGTTAGTTTTGATGATTCAAAGCTTACATTGATTGCAGATGTTTTAAAAATGGAACATTTTCCAGCTTTTGATAGATACACGACATCATCATTCTTTTCGAATCTGCGATAATAATATTTTATGTGAAAATTAGAAAAATGAATAAAATGATGTTTGCTCGAAGAGATATATACAAACTGTGATAGATTATTTAATTATTAGATTTCATTTGTGAATTAAAATCGGAAAACATTTTTTCTTGCCTCATTGTGTTACTCAATAATAACTCTAAAACCATTTTCTTGAAACGGTTTTCTACCGGAAAGCAACATTTTATCTTTCTACTAATTTCAGAATGAAATTTCCAATCATTATATTTTCACTTATTATCGCTAATTTATTTGATTATATACGATGCCTTCAATGCTATCAAAGTTTTGGGAATATTTCTTATATTAAGAATTGTTACCCAAAACAAGAAGAACATGAAATGTGCTTTACAACTAAGTTTGGAGGTATTTCTTTTCATAATTAATTCTCATTAATTAATTACGATTTCTCGTTCAATGTTCCAATTAAGAATAGAGCTGGATATCAACCGCAGTGTACTGGAAAAGATTAATTCAATCCATTTTCATCATTTTAATAAAGAAAAAGTGTTTTCAAATAGTTTCATGCATTCAATTAAATTCTTAATGTTCAAGTAAACATCCTACTATTTTTAAGCCATTCTAATCCAATCAAGTTTTAGATAACTTTCTGACATAATCCTGATTATCTTGATCAAATATTGTTAGTTTTCCTGTCAGCTATAGATGACTTCCGGATTTTGGCAGTAATTTTTTACAATCCTGATACATCTCTTTCGCTATATTTTTTTTTACTTTCTGGCACCTTTTAAAAAAAAAATGTTTTGCAAAGTAATGATGTTGCAGCTAAAGGAGTTTGTGTCAGAGGGTGCTCCTTCGAAATTCTCCATTATCATGAATATGAATTTAGCTTAAATTGTTCCGTAAGTATTCCTTTTGAATTGCTATGTACAATTCTATCTAAATTTTATTTGAAATTAAAATACACTGGAAGCATTTTATTTTATTAGGAAATTTCTTTTGCTTGAAGGAAAGAATTTTAGCATCCGATTTATCCCAAATGAATTTTGATACTTCACTTTTATACTCAATGTGAGCTTTCGATCTGATGGTTTGTTTGTACGAACTGAATTAGTCGAGAAACCTGAGATATCTGAATGCCAATTCCAGAACGCGGGCTGCATGATTGGCATGGGATGCTGCTGTAAAGGTGATCTCTGCAATAATCAGTGTTTCAATGAAGCAACAACGATCCGATACTCGATATTTCTGGCTCCATTATTGAGTTTGATGATATTTAAATTTTTGTCATGACAGATTTTCTTCTGTTGTTCTGCGAAAGTAATTAGGCCCTATCCTTAATCAGATCTCTGAAATGTGAAATTTTGAAGTAAGAATCGGATTGAAGACAACATTTAATTTCCGTGGAGCAATATTAGTAATTTCTTGTAAAAAAAACTCTATGGAACTTATTGAAACTAAGCCTAAGTCTGATTTCCATAAAAGCAGTTCTCATCAGAATTCATTTCATTCTAATGGGATCTGTCTGACCAACTGTGGGCGCAAAAATCCTTTTCTCCAAAAGGCATTTGTATTACTTATGATGGCATTTTGAAGCTTTGTTGATCGTGTGAATTTCGCTTTCATTTTACTTTTCGTAATGATTCACAGAGGAATAACTCATTGATAATATTGATAATATCAAATGATACAGTTTAAACTTCAAAATGTTAATAATCATTATGATAGTTTTAAGCAAAATATGATTTTGAAATATTAATGTATTTACCACAAAAATGCAAGCAAAATAAAACCATATTTCTTGGAACTTGCAAAATTTCGACTAAATTGCAGCATTTCGGCTGACAGATATTATTTCTTAGTAGTGAGAAACGAAATTTTGTATAAAATTTACTAAATTTTTGAAAATCTCTTAGAATAAATATATCAAAGGCCAGCGGGGAATTTTACAGCAAAAATGCTTATTTATTACACGGTATAACTGTAAAATGAATATGTTTTCTAATTAGCTAAAAAGAAAAATTATAGTATAAGTAAGATTTTGCTAATAAATATATTTTTCATCTATTTGTGATGATTTATACTTTTTTCGAAAATTGAATATATTTCTCTGATGCTCAAATAATTTAGAGACAATGCGTTAGCTTGCTCTTATTCTTTTTATTAATATCAATGATATTATCATTTATTATTAGTCTTCAATATTTTTCAGTTATCATTATTGCTCTTTCAATTGTACCATTTAATCATTCATACAATTTATTTCGTTTATTTTTAAGAATAAAGCTTCGATTATTTTACTATTATTATTACTAATGCCATTCATCATCTATTACGATATTTTATAAGGCCTAGTAAAATTTCGAATTGTGAGATCAAAAGTGGAGAAATATCTCTCCGCCATCCATCGAAATGGACTGCGAACAGAAAAATTGAAAAGGATATGAAACATTGTCATTCCGAGTTTATTTCAATGAAATATATTTTTTCGAAAACAACCAAGTTTTTCGATCAATGAAAGCCTTCTTCGAGTGACCTTCTCCACAACTCATTCGGTACAATTGAAATGTATTAAGAATGAATATCAATCTTAAGTTATCATTCCTTCATTAAAAGTCAAACTTATCAGTTATGTGATAGTTAGAATGATTTTCACACTCTTTCATTCTATTCATTACTACTATTGCTCTTTCTATCATTCATTGTTCTTATCACTTTTTCAATGAATGATAAAGCGAAAGAAAATGCATTTTGTAATATTACAGTAATATGTTTGTTTTCATACACGCATATAAAAAAGCAAAAATGTTCACTGATTCATTTGTTTGCTATTGTGTTTAAAAATTGGAAGAAACGGAACAACAATTTCAGTACATTACGGAATTCTTTTTCATCATGTATTAGTCATGTTCATCAATGTACCGTACTACGTATCATATTTCTCATGAAAATCCATATTATCATTATTTTTTTGTTTCAAAATATTTGACGCAAACTTATCATCGTGAAAACTTGAAATACATTATTTTAGAAGCTATAAAAAGAGATTTTATTGAATTTTCAAAGAGATGATAATTTGAGAATGAATTTTAATGATTCATCCTTATAGTAAGAAGGAATATTCGAAATCATCGATTCTGTTGAAGGAACAGAAAGAAAAGAAAAGAGCTCTGTTTGTTGAAAGTACCGAACACGTGTTCAACAGGTACATGCGATCCACAAGACATATAATACAAATATCATTCAACCATATGGCTTACACAAATTTGAAATAATAAGAACAGATGTCTAATTATTACTTATAGCTATAATGAGGATTATTTCTTTCTTTTCGATTTCAAACTGATTAAAGTAAATATAATGATATGATAAAAAGAAAAGAACTTGTATTCTCGAATTTACCTGCAACATTTGATATTACTTTTATTTACTTTTTTAATTTACATCTTTGTCACAATGTCTCTTATTTCTTCACTTACCAATTTTTGTTTTATTCCGTTTCTAATTTTTCAGATCATTTTCTGCTTTATTTATTTATTTCTCTTATTTTCCTTTTTCTCTAATTGAATAAAAGTTCGTTTCTTTTTTAAATAATTTCAAAACTTCATCATTTCTCCTTTCTAGAAATTAAAACTGAAAAGGATTCTGAAATTCTTTGCATGTAATTAATAACAAAAATAATTTTGAACCAAAATGAATTAAGAATTCAATAAACGAAAAAACAAATAAAATAATTATTAATCCAATTTTTATAATTTCTGTATGGAAATTTGATTGAAAAAAATCTTATCAATTTTAATCATATCACTTCGATTTTTAAGAAAATATTTTTTTAAATTCAATTTACTTCCCTAATTTATTATTTCTATCGATTGTTTTCTCCAACCATTTTCTCACTCCTATCAATATTCATTGTTTGTTTATGCCTTTCCGGATTCATTTTAAACTAACAACAATTATCGAAGAAATGTCTAAGCTGTATTGACCTAAGGAATTTACTTATCCTTTTGTGTGGATATTATTGGGCGCTGTGTTGTCGTTGGATCTTTCACAACTTCTCAGACATTTGGTAAACAAAACTGTACACAACATAGAAGTAAAATCCTTTCCAAAACTAAAATTAACGATCACTTACCCCCAATGAAATATTTATTTTATTAATTTGAGTGTCACATTTTCATGACTTTCACTATTAATTGTCATTTGACTGAATTTCTTCCATTTCATCCATTTTATTTTGAAGAAGAACCAATTGAATTTTTTGCCATAAAATGAAGCTAGAATTGAAAATTAATTAATAAGTTAATTAATTATCAGTCTAAATTAGCACTTAAATTTATTTTTAAGAAAAATTAGACAATTCAGTAAATTGTATTTATTATCTTTCAGACCTTCAAAAATTGAAAAGTTCAAATTAGAAATGATTTTTTTTTTAATGTTATAAATTGCAAGGTATAAAGAGTTTTCATTTAAAATCTTACATTCTTAAAATTTAATAAATTAGTGTTAAAATAAAGGTTCAATTTATTTCGTTACAGAATAATTTTCTAGTCAAATTCTAATAAAACCATAATTTATATTGCAAATGATACACATATAAATTTGATTTACAAATACGCAAAATAAGTCTAATTTTAATCATGTTTACAAAATAACTTTGTCTTTAAAAAAAGTTTTTTAATAAAGTTCAAAAAAACCGTTTACGGTCAACGTAGAAAACAAATGCAGGTAAACATCTGTTTCAGGATGGCGCTATTTGAGAGTGACAAAATGACGACACATGTTTTCCGAATGATTTTGCGAAGGCAATTTGATTATCGCCAGATTTGTTTCCCTTCTCTTATTTGCCTTTTGTTCCACACTTCAATTTGCATGTAAAATAACAATTTCTTTAGGAAAACTTTCCAAGAAAAGCAAAATGGAAATCTAAGCAAATTATTGATCAGAAAGCTAACTGAATATTCATCCAGTTATAACAGTGTTATCAAAATTAATAAAGTATGAGGGAATGATAAATGTTTTTTTTGTTTTGTTAACCTTAATTGAAATGGTACTTACTTCAGCATTTGCAATATTTTAAATAAGATACGCTCAATCCTCCAATTTGAGTCAGAAAAATGAAAGAAATGTAAAATTAGAAATGAAAAAATTTGCATATTTTCAAACTGATAAAAGCTATCTTTCTGAAGAAAAAAATCAATTATATAAGTTAAATAATTAATTTTTTTCTTGATTTATTTTGTGAACTTTATTAAATGACCAATTTCGTCCTGCAAAATAGAGAATTGTTTACTGTATCTAAAGTATTTGGATTTTAATAGCTGAGGCCTAATTTTAATTTATGGCGAATGTTTTGTTGAACCTTTATAGGCTTTATCATTGATCATCATAAAGTATCCTATCCATTTAGCCTTGAAGAGTAATAGACACAAACAAGCATAACCAAATATTTTTCCTACCATTTTAATATGTGAATATTTAAATTTCATCAAAGTACTATATGTTCTTAGGTTTTCACTTTTACAGTGTAAAAAAGAAAAGCATTTAGCTATTAATTATATATCATGTCGGAATGGGTAGAAGAAAAAAACAAAACTTTCTGTAAGCATATACAATTAAACAAATCATACTTTAGTAGGCACAAGGATAATTATATATTTTACAGTTTGCTTCATTTATCTTCCATGGTGACAGATTTTCCTTACTTTCAATTGCAGCCATAGAAGAATTATTGAGAAGTTCCTGAAAATTTAAATTAAAGATTATCGTTTGTGTTAATTCTCAAATTTTGTTTTATTCAGAAACTACTTTACAAAATAGAAAGTTGTTAAATGATATGGTAGGTAATTTGATATGATCTTCTTATTTTGCCATACCATACAATACCTTACGATAAGGAAAAAGTTAATATCAAAAGAACAACGAAACCAAAAAACTGAAAGGTTGGAAAAAACCAGAAAGACATTTCATAAACTTATTTACTTATTTATTATCTTTAATTGCTTATCTTACAACTTTATGCTGTGAAAAACCATAAATAAATTAATTTTAATAGAACGAAATTAATGATAAACAATTTTTTGACTTATTGAAATTTATAAATAAAAAAAGAAATGCAATAAAGAAGGAATTTACCTGAAGTTCAGTAATGTAATCAATGACTTTCTGTAATAATTCAAGCAGTGGTGTATGAGCGTTAACAAATGGAACTATTTTGCGAAGTTCTTCCAGAACTTGTTTTCGTTCACGTCGTCTTTTCGACCACCTGGCAGATTTTGTGGTCTTCGATCGAATTGTCTGCATTGTTGCTGCCATTGCTGGGATAATTCTTTTACTGAATTTGATATTAATCGTATCGTAAGAGTTGTCGAGATTTCAACAGCATTTGAAAATCCTTCTACAAAAGTGAAATATTTCATTCATTTAAAATCATTTCTATTGTAAAAGACTTAAATCTTAAACTCTAAATTTAAACATACAATTATTCGATTACAATTTGGTCAAAACAACTTTCATCATTTTAAAATCATCATTTTAAACATGCCTTAATTCAAAAATGGTCCAAGTTTGTGGTTGAAGATGTTGCAAGGATTTCTTTTGCCAGAGAATCTTGGCTTATTTAAAGTGACCCAAAAATAATTGTCTGATAACAAAAGAATATTATTCCCTATATCCAAAATATTTTTGCTTTCTAAACTGTAAAAGAAATGAAATTGAAAATAGTTAATAGAATTTTATAACAAAATATTCCAATGTATTTTATCATAATAACGGTCATTTAAGTTGGGGTGAAATATGCGTATGTACAGGTAGGTTAGCGAATTCAAAAACACTTGTCAGCTAAGACACTTATGAAAATACTAATAAAGCCTTGGCCTGGATAATATTCATGGGCAAGAATTCATGAATTTCAAATATTTCTTATTTTATGCACCTATGGGTTAGTTAATTGATGTAGCAACAACTAATTCAACCCTACCCTTTAATTTATAATTTAATTGTTAACATCTGATCAGCAATTAAGATAAAACACCAACCAGATTTTCTAGAGAAATTTGCTCAAACACTCCAGTAAAGTTATCCTCTTATCACTAGAGTAAGTAAAAAGAAATCAAAACAAAAAGCAAGGAAAATCTAAGAATATGCGGAGAAACGCGTAGCAATAACTTAACTTTTATAGCACAAATAATTAAGTCAAGAAAATCTCACAAATAACTGAGCCAAGAAAATCTCACAAATAACTGAGCCAAGAAAATCTTAAAGAAGCAGCAAAAGCAAAAACATGCCTAAAAACATGCAAGCATCAATCATAATTTCCAGTTAACTTAACCTTTACATTCTCATCCTAATATATTGCTTCAAATCAGTTAGCTTTTATTATGCGGTTAAAATTCAATGAAATGAAAGAAATCAAAACAAGCAACATAATAATTGGCGCAGATTCCACTTTACCGCCATATAGGGTTTTTGGTAAATTTTAATCTCATTGAATTCTGTTTCTAATCTGAATAACTTCTTATAGATTAGCAATACTCTTTGCAAGCATTTTTGTTAGTTTGCTAATAAAAAAATGATAGCAGTTAACTCAAATTTTCAGATCAGATCATTTTTCAAAAAGCTTATTACTCCACGAAAGCAAAATGGTACCATAGAGAAATGACAAGACTAGAAGGAATCATAAGGGACAAATAGAAGGATTTGATGACAGCTGTTTCATCCTCAGCTGTTCACTTCATCCTAGGAGTTGGTCGAAGAAGAAAAAAAGAAAAAAGAAAAACCTAGTTAAATCCGTATCTGTATCACAGATGTGTGCCTTATTTATCAAAAGACAGAAGAAATAACCCTCTTATAAGATCCTAATAATATTTTACGATGTGCGCAATCTGCATAACAGATGCAACTGCAACTTCAACAAAATATTATCATTACTATTATCATAATCATTACGATATATTATAATTCAGTAATATGACAATGACCACGTATGCAATTTCAACTATAAAATATTATAGTTAAATGAATGTTTTTTTTGTTAATATAATCTTTACATATATCGCTCTTATTGGTTTAATATTTCAATTTTTAATCCTATAAGTTTTCATTTATTTCACAATTTTCATGGGGATTAGATAAATAAGGCTCAAAATAAGAGATGAGAATAAACTAACTGCCTAATCAGAATTAATTTAAAATTCAAACAAATATCATGTTGACTTAACATTTATCATATTATCTTAATTTTAATCCTGCACTTTTTCCATCAATTCGGTATAACTTGAATTTTTTATTTTTCGGATATTTGCTTCTTAGTTTATTACAATAAATGAAAGGTATAAAATAAACCTATGGCGGGCAATATTTAGCATTTTATAATTAACAATAAGTTAAATTAAAACATTTTGAAACAAAAGCGCATATTATGTTGGCGGAAAAATCGTTCCATTTGAAAAATAAAATATAATTTTTTGTGTATTTTGAAAATAAATAATAAAAAGGAATGAAATTCATTTCAAAATTAAGAATATACGTAGAAATTATATTAAATAAACACTCTTTTTTACTATAAACATGATAAAAATATTTGTTTTTGAAAAAATTTATAAATACTCAAATTTGAAATTATTATCAGATGTTCTTCAAAATTTCTATAACACACATCTGTTTGAAAATTTATTCGGGTTAAGAGAAACAGCGATATGTTTGTACCTGTTCCTGATACACACACATACACACACACAGACACATATATATATATATATATATGCATATGTACATTTGAAATATGCATTTGCCACAGCTGTCCCTATAAAGCAACTACTGATTTATCATCAAAGCAGCTGATGAACTTTTTTTTTGTTTTAAATATATTGGTTTTAAGTTACAGATTTTTAGAACTATAACTAAGGATCAAAAAATTCATTTTAATCAAAATAAAATTTTTATCATTCTTTATTATTTAGCAGGGGAAGGAAAGAAGTACGAGAAGGAGGCGGGGAAGCGGGAAGACGGGGTGCAATAAACACTCCTGAAAAATTTCTCTCATATTAATTAATCGATAACACTACTCTGAAATATATTAAAATTTCCCATATCAATTATATGGATTGTTGACGTAATGATTCAGTACTGGTAAGTGTCAAATTGTCATAATTGCAGTTGGATGACTTGATTGAATAGGTGTTGGCAGGTATGTAATAAATTAGAAATTGGATCCTTAAATAATCTTAGTACTATTATTAACTACAATTATATAGATGAGTAGGTGTGAAGAAGGATGGATGGATATTTTGTAGTTAGGTATGTTTTCGCGTAATTCTCTTCAGCAGTTGCAAGGATGGACTTAATTAAGTGTTAAATTTTTGTCACATACATATGAATTGATATTAAATTACCACTAAAATAATTTGTAATGCTTGTAATGTTAGGAATGAATGCCTAATTTTAATTTTTAAAATTCCTTGTGCTTTTTAGTGATAATTCAATCTGCCTGTAGTCTTATTCAGAAATATTTTTATGGCCTAAATAATTTGACAGTATGAAGTAACAATAATGTGAAATAATTATTTAAGATGTGGCTTTAAAATACTATCAATCACGGTCTCTTTAAGAATAAAGTAACAATAATGTGAAATAGTTATTTGAAAATTAAAACAATGCCAACATCAATAATTTCTCAAAATTTCAAAAGCTTGCATATTTAATTTGTGATGCGCAAATGTTCACTTTTATTTGAAGAGAAAATGATAAGATGAGCTTTGTAAAATGTTTAGAAATGAAAGAACAATACAATATTAATTTAAAATGATCTAATGATAAGGAAACAACTGTCGAAGAAGCAAAACTACTAATCTCACCACTGTTCAACAAATCTTTTACCAAACGTTTACCACTGCAGGTGTTGCGGAGAAGAGCGTAAATTGAGGATAAACTGATTGGTAGATGAGAGCAACAGGCTTATGATATAAGATATCAGGTCAATCATCTTCATTCTTCAATTTTTCTTTTCTTCAATTTAAAGGTAACAATATATTCTCAACGATCAAATGAATATCATTGAATAATTTTGCTCTTGGAAATTTTCAGATGAAAATTAAAATGGAACTCAATTAGTGAACAATTGTGTTCTGCTTCGTTGTTCTATTTGAAATTGGGACAAAAAAGAGATAAGAACAGAAATAATAGTTCAAGGATATCTGACGGATCATTAATGCTTTTAAATTTTGAAATAAATCATTCGAAATACCGAAAAACATTGTTCTAACAGATTATATATTTTTTTAAATGAGAAGTAAAAGAAATGAATTTCATAATTTAAAAAAATTAGTTCACTTTAAGTTATACACAATTTCATTGCATTAATTTGCTTCGTTCCAAACTTTTTCACTTATTATTTTTTAATAATTTTTATTGTTATTCATTTATACGTTTATTTAATACAAATCTGTTTTAGGCCTTATGGATGAATAGGCTTATCAGATAGAAATTTCAACTATCGAAGAATTATAAAAATGGATGAGGTAATAAATAACGTCAGATAAATGAAGCGGTAATGAGTTAAATCTACTTATGCATCACATTTGGCACTGATTTTCAATTCATGTGCCCAATGACCTTAAACTAATCGTTCTTACGTCATCAATGAAGCAAATCCGCCGAATAGTTCGTTCAAATTGGATTTTCATTCTTCCGTATTTTACTGTTTTGATTCATTTTCTTTACTTAAAATTTGATTATATCCAAATTCGAATATTTGTTTGATTTATAAATTGCACGAAGAATTTAATCAAATTTTAAACAAAAACTTCAATCATCGCAATATGTATTATAGTAAAAAATAATTTTTATATCGCAAAAATTTTAAACTTAATTGAATGATTCATTCCATTTTGCTTACAATTTTTAAATGTAATGTTAAAACATTTGAAGAAAATATTAGCAAAGTTGTAAATTGAATAGTAAAAAATGAGTGAATGTAAATAATTTCACACGAATAGAATTTGGATCCGAGATGTCATGTTGATAAAAGAGAATTAAATGAGATAATAGTGACAACAGAATGAGATGAACATTACCGGTCGAACAGAAGGAATGGGTGAATCTGTTGCGATGGCAAAATATCAACTGATGAGCAATTAACCGGTCGTTAAGCTCCACCTTGTCAATCAAGTCGGCACTCCTTTGATTGTCAATGAGCACCTTAAGATTAAAACACTCAACTTCAAAAATTTGTCATCTATATAAAAATTTCTATTATTTGCAAGTTTAATCTCATCCTATTTTTTTTGATATGAATTAAATATGATAATAAATATTAA